GTAAAACTGATGCACACGCAACACTCAGGTTCTGGAGCAGGACTGCAGTTCAGTAGTGGACGAGCAACCAGAACCTTCTGCCAGAGTTTACAGCTGGTGAACGCGAAGAAGAACGAAGAAGAAGAGACTTGTCATAATGAATTATGAGAGACAGATAAATACCACACAGAACTGAGAATAGAAGGCCCATTAGCTCTTACAGTCAAAGCTTTGTAGCATCTTTTCATCCTCCCTGCCAGTGATTATCAGATGAGGCTACAGGTCGCTATGAAGTCTGTGGTGTGATGCATGTTTTCCTCGGATCCACACAGCTTGGTTTCTCTTGGAATACTCACTGGAGAGACCTGAAAGTTCATCTTGAGATTCCTGTACACATGGCTGTGAAGTTTGTTGTGCCTCTGTTATTTCCCGCTTTGTAGCAATAAAGGTTAGTGTGTGCAATATTCAATTTCTGAGAAAATATGTAGGTGGTTTGAAGGAAGAATGAATCAAGATAGCATTTTTTTAAAACCCTTCCAAACTTTTGTGGCTTTAGGATTATAAACATAATTTTATAATTCCACCATACCAGGTTCAGTTCAACTATAAATGATTTGACAGCAGACTACTTTGCACTGATTTCAACAACAGGGTGAGCATTGACTCTTCCTTGAGCAAAAACAAAGAAAGAAAAATTGCCTAGTAAAAGCATAAACAGACAAATCAAATACTGAGATTGGTTTGCTATGTCCTGCAAAAGTTTTCCAGTTAATTTTGGTTAAAACTTGCCCATACTTTGGTGCATAATGGTATATGGATGCAAGCCTCATGTGTATGAATTCATCGATCCGAGTTGAGTAATGTGGTCAGAATTACCCCAACACACCAGTTCACAAAGCATTTACAGACGATTAAAAAAAATGGTAGTTGGTAGTTGTGTTGCAGCTTTCGGCTCAACACATCCGATTTCAGCAAACGTTGAATTAGTCGTCTTTTACGACATGCTCGTCAAAGGACAGTGAGTCCGTTCCTTTTTCTGCCAGAACTCGCATCAGGATAATATTTGATTCAAAAACAAGCCACTTATATAGTGAAGAATTTTTATTTGAACAAAGCTTCAAACTGAAGAGTAACTGTAACCAAACAAGTCAATATCAAGCATTTTATATTCTAATGTAATTCTGTATGGGTAAAACCACAAACACAGGAAACAGTTGAATGTGTGCTAACATCACAATAGTTTCTCTTTGGTTCTGCAGTAACACACCATACATTGCGGCCTTTAAGTTAACCTGATGTATAAGTCTATCAAGACTAGTGGAGTTGAGTCAAGAAGTGACATCACAGCACTTGAGGCATTCCCATGTGTGCACCATCCTCATATTCAGCAGCCAGCGCAGTGTTCCAATACTGATGGTACCGGTCACAATCTGGTTATATGTCCGTCTTGCCTTTCCTCTGAGTGTAGCGAGCCAGCCAGACCCTCTGGTTACACCCAGGTGCCTCATTCTCTCCAGGCCATAATAATCTTGTTTTCCTACTGCCTTGTCATGTATCAATTCACCACCCAGTGGTGCAGATCCAACAATCAACCAAGACTAGTTTAGGTCAACTGGCTAACATACTTTTGCCAATCAGTGGCCCAAAATGTCCACCTACCAGTGAATGGTATGAGGTTAAAGGATAGATACCCTGTGCCAAAACTTCATAAAGCCACACCACTTCCCCTGTGGATTGAGACATTACCAAAATGACAACATGTGAGATGAGATGTATAAGAAAAGTAGCGGGAAAAACAAGAAAAGATACCAATGAGGAACCAAGATTAATGGCAGGCACAGTGCTGGTAAATGATTTAATAGAACATCAAAGAAACAAATGGTTTGGTCACCTGGTCAGAACAGAACAGAATCAGCCAGCAGTTAGAGCGTACTACATGAGAGCAGCAGGCTGCAATGCAAGAGGCGGACCAAGAAAGAGATGAGTGGAGGGAGTAAAAAAGATGCCACAAAACTACAATGTGACGTTGAAACAAGTTAGGCAACAAGCAAAAGCCAGGAAACTACATCTAACTCCTCTGTCTGATGTTTTACGGCATAAGCAGTAGGACGACAGAAGATTGTAAACAAGAAAACACTAATATCTTTCTACATGTGTTGTAAAGCAAACAACCTACAACACACACACAGACAAGTTCTATTTGCTGCACTGGTTTAACTGAGTTAACATTTACAACCTGTGACCTCACCAACGCCATGTGGCAAACTGTGGATCTGTTACATGGTCAAATCTCAGGTCAGACTCACCCTGTTAATGATCTGCTGTTATAATGAACAAACTGCTGGAGGTTCAGTAAGTGCTGTACAGTGATTATTAAGAGTGCCGTCCCACCTGTTTACAACCAGGTGTTAAAGGATTTTATTTGACACCTGCCATATAAGCCGACCTCTGGTTCTGGAAAGATATTTTAGGCTTGAAAACAGCATTTATAAGCCGCTATTTACTCCTTGATATCTCTCTTGGTGAAACCACACTACAACATGTGGAGTCAGTTCAGCAATAACGTAGACAAAGTTTTAGACTAAAGTAGAAAAATATTAATTTAACACACACAAAATTAGGTGTTTTCATGGCAGTAGGAAAAGTGTAGAAATTGTTTGTATTTTTGAACAATTCAGTTTCTGAAAACATTTAGATATGAATTATGTTTCAGAACTAATGTTCCACTATTTTTTTTCCCCCATGAAATACAATCTATCCGCATATCCAAAGAACTAAACTAGATTTTCTAGTTCATCAGCATATAATGACAGATGAACAAGGATACAACTACACTGCTATAGTCTGCATTTCTGCTATGAACTTACCTATTTAGTGATATCTGTACAACAGAGTAAGTTTGTAATAATGAACCATTCATTTTAAAATCAGTTGAAACAAATATTTCATTCATATAAATATATTCAATTACATAAATATATATATATATATAACTCTCAGAGCTCATTTCTATCCCATGTGAGAATATGCTGTTTACAATAGGGTACTTGAAAAATCTCTACAAAGAATGCTATTCTTTATAGTAAAAACCTGCCCCAAACAGGTTTCCTTTTTTCTTTAAACTCTTTTTGCCCAATCAATTTGTATAGGTGACTGTTTTGTGTGTGCTATAAAACCCTATTTTTACATTTGGTCTGAGCATGTCAAATAAATCTGGCTTTTTAAATACAGAGTATATATATAGTACTTCTATTAAAGTGTTGTAATTATCTGCTGCAAAATCTGATCTTACGCAAGGAATAAAAATTGTATCCACATTAACTAAATAATAATCTCTATTTTAAATTTGATGGGATCAAAGGAGTTTAAAATTGTATCCAAATCTAATAATAATCACATTTCATTATATCCATTTTAAAATACAATGGTACCTTGGAATTTGAACGTCTCTAAAACGAACAACTTGAAATTTAAACACCCAAAAAAAACTGTCAGGTTAAAAAATTGGAATGCCGCCAATGAAAACGGCACAATAATCACCAGGACTCAGCTGACAACACAGGAGCTTCAGAACCTTCACCAGTAGCAGAAGGCAGAAACTGCAGAAGAAATTTCTTCCGAGAAGGAAGTGGAGAAGCTGGAAGGATTAGTTAGGCGACAGATTATCTACATGGCACATTGAACCATTCAGTCCATAACTGCTCAGATCCCCACCTCAATAAATCCTACAGCGTGTAGCTGCTGAGGATGCCAGTTCTGTGTTGGTTTCTTATTCTTCTTTGGCTTCCTGCATAGTGCTCTTGTCCGACCACACCCCTTTTAACTTTGCGGCGGACAGTTGTAGTTTTTGTGACTAGAATTTTTATGTAAAAGATGGATAGCTTTCATCTCTTGCGTGTAATCGTCTGTGCCAGGATGTCAACCAAGAGCTGCAAGGTTGATCACTGCTAAAATCCAAGATCTTTTGACCATGTGTTGGAAAATGCAACAAGTTGCTGAGGTGATGCCCTAATAGTGCCCTAGTTAACAGGTGTGTTTAATTATTTAATTATAATATTATCAAACATTTAAAAAAATTTAACATGGTCGCCGACATCTGAGCACACTGGAACGGTGGCTGTCAACAAATTCTAAGTGACCCCAAACTCTAGTGTGACCATAAGTTACGTGTTAGCTGGGACAGTATGTTTGTTTTTTAAAGGCAGACCAGGCCGCCACGTCGATATTCAGCGTCAACTGGGACGTCTTTTCTTCTTTAGTATTGACCCAACAGTCTAGGCCTACCTAAAAATGATACTACCAAACCTTCTGTTGTTCGTCCATCATGAGTGATGGAGACCACTTTCATCCAAAGTAGTAATGATCAATTATTATAAGTACGAAGGTGTCTGATTAGCCAATACGAGCCTGGAAAGTTCTTGAGCAGTCGGACAACATATGAAAGCTGCAGTAATTGTGGGATTAGCAGTACAATTCTTTTGAGTCTGCCTCCATTTCTCTGCCTGTGCAGCCTCTGCTGCCTGGCAGGCTGAAGCACCATGCCTGAGGAACGTACGCCATCCAGAACGGTCTTGCGCAGGAGCCTTCCACGTTGCTATGTTGATGCCAAAAGAATTGAGTACAGTCTTGAGAGTGTCCTTTCAGCGCTTTTTCCGAACCAAACCTTTTACTATGATACGAAATACTAGAAAGGATTCCTGATGTTATCATGGCAGGTGTTTCATCTTCCAAACAATAATCTTCTTAATCCTTCTATTTCTATGTGCTATGTCACCATTCTAATAAAGGTATAGTAAATACAATGTTTTTTTCATTTGTTTATGTTTGTATTCAAATATGATCATCATGTGTTACTATATTGACGAAAATACATTTGTAAAATAGTTTGTTGGACATGGAACAGACTAATTGAGTTTCCATCATTTTCAACAATTTGAAATGCAAACGGCGACTCTAAACAGATTATGGTCAAAGTACCACTGTATATGAATTTATCATCACTGTTTCATGGCTACCAGTCTTTACTCTAAGTGCATGGAGGACCTGAGATTGTATGTGTGGATGGTCTCATCCAGTAGGGTTTCTGTGAATCCACTGGTTGGATCTGTGGTTGTCGAGGTGATCCTATGAACAGCTGAAGCACCAACGCTGACATTCAGTTTAGCTGTACATCCACCGCGACATCTCTCCCACTGCAAGATGTAACATCAAATTAACAACATTAAGTCTTCCAGTCCTAGACAAGTGTTACTTTAAAATCATTACATTCTAACCCTTTCCATATCAAGCACTTGCTTAAATCCATTCAGTCATAGGAAATGTTGGCTCTGTGGCTAAGTCGATGCGAACGCTTCGTAATGCCGGGTTCAATCTCAGCTGCGGGCCATGCGCCTTGCGATGGTTTCGACAGTGGTTATCAAGAAAGCCAACCGTCCAGAAAGCAATGGCAAACTACCGGAGGTAAATTTGCCTAGAAAAACCACACAACAGCCAGGGGCTGTTGGGGTTGGTTCTGCAACGTCCTGTAAAGGATACGCAACTAACCATAGGAAATACCTTAACCTTGTTGCCCTGTGGAAGCCCGTTTTCTGACCATTAGAGGTTTCTGATGACATCTGCCCCTAGGAAGTGGCCAGCTTTGGTGCTGGCTGCAACTGCCTAGAGAAGAACTGTAAAAGACGAACAAACAGTTAAAGAATACATACAATATTATTCCCTGCCCTCCCCAACTGTTTGGGTCCCCTCTCCCCAACAGGCATGTGGTAAAGGTTGACTATTTAGGGGTGTTTCCTTCAAAGTCGGAATGCATCTACCTGACAGCAAGCAACCAACAGTGTGCTTACAAACAAGAAAGCTTTATAAAATAGATGTGCACCAAAACTCAAGTTCTGTAACAAGATACCAGAAGTGGACGAACAACTTGAACTTTTTTGCCAGAGTTTACAGACTGAACACACACAAAAAAAAAGAATTAGAATATTACTTTAAGTCCTGCTACATAATGGAACAAGTGCATTTTTTAAAATTATTGTTACTTTTTTTTAGGGATAGGGTCAAGTCATATAATTTTTGGGGTAGGGATGAAATCACAATATGTTTTAATCCTTTTAGGAGTAGGGATGAAACCACAATATGTTTTAATCCTTTTAGGAGTGGGGATGAAACCACAATATGTTTTAATCCTCTTAGGAGTAGGGATGAAACTACAAGATGTTTCAATCATTTTAGGAGTAGGGTAAAGCCATAAAACATAGCACATTTAAAGGGAGAGGGCAAGTCCATATGTCATAACACTTTCTGAGGTAGGGGTCAAGCCACGTCATGATCCGTTAGGCTTAGGTATCAATCAGTCTACTCATCCCACCCAGAGCCACATAAGGCAGAGACAAACTGTCGCCACTAAACTCGATCCCGAGCCACCCCCTCCATCTCCAGCCTTGTCCCTCACGTAGCCTTAAGCCTAGCTTTAAAGGTTCGCCTCCAAGTGCCTCTGGGCCTGCCTCTTCCTTGCTGTCTCTGTGGTGTCCATTGCAATGCCTGTCTCGGTCGTCTCTCCTTCCCCACTTCGAGGACGCGTCCAATCTACCCCCATCTTCACCCTTTGACCTCCAACCCAAGGTATCAAGCCATGTCATAATCCTTAGGGGTAGGGGGTCAAGCCATGTAATAATCCTCAGGGGTAGGGGGTTAAGCCATGTAATAATCCTCAGGGGTAGGGGGTTAAGCCATGTAATAATCCTCAGGGGTAGGGGGTTAAGCCATGTAATAATCCTCAGGGGTAGGGGGTTAAGCCATGTCATGATTCTTTAGGGGTAGGCTGTCAATTGATAATGAGGTTACATGTGCACTGTATATGTGACACAGTACTTGTGCATACTGAGGCTATGTGTGCATGGTATGTGTGATAAGTACTTGTGCGCACTGACGTTATGGTGTACTGCACGTGGGACATAGTACTTGTGCTCATTGAGGTCACATGTGTACTATATGTGGAATACAGCACTTGTACACTCTGAGGTTATGTGTGTACTTATGTGGGATACAGTACTTGTGCTCCCCGTGTGGGTTCGGGGGCCCTGTTATAGAGAAAACAAGAATAGACCCACTGCCTACCCAAAAGCATCTCGTAAGAGTTGACTAATTGGGAGCTTCCTTCAAAGTCGGAGTGCATCTGCCTAAGAGGCAAGGAACTAGCAGTCTGCATACAAATGAGTTACATCTGTAAAATGGATGCACATGCAACTCTTAGGTTCTGGAACAGGACTGCAGTCCAGAAGTGGATGAACTACCAGAACTTTCTGCCAGAGTTTACAGCTGGTGAACCCGAAGAAGAAGAAGTACTTGAGCACACTGAGGTCACAAATGTACTGTATGTGGAATACAGCAATTGTGCACTTTGAGATTACGTGTGTACTGTACATCTGATATAGAATTTTTATATACTGAGGTTCCTGTGTGTATTGTTATTTCCTAATGTACGCCTTATTTTGTATTTATCCGAACTGTCCTAGAAACTTGCTATAGATTCCTGCAATATTTTATCAATTTGAAAAAATCTACCTATGTTGTAAACCCACTGCTTACACACATACGACTGACTGATAACAGTAAAGTGAAAAGTAAAGGACCTTTTCCCACACCTTTCAGGCATATTGGGTATATAGGGCTAAACCTATATTTCATAGACCAAACGGCACTTTGTGGGTGATGTGGTCAGAATCACGCCAGCCACTTATACCTCCCAGGACTGTACCTGGTGCCCACTCAAGGTTGGGTCAACCTGGGAGCCAATATCATTTTTGAAAAAAAAATCTGGCCTTCATCAGGGACTGAATCCACAACCTTCTGATCTGCAGCTGAGCATCTAGCCACTAGACAGGCACTTATTGCTTGTCACTCAATTTCCAAATATAACTGTGACAAATAAATTAAACAATGATCATCCTGGATAAATCAGAGATAAATAACATCTGAATCAAATCATACATACAGGAATATGAAATCATACATACAGGAATATGAAATCATACATACAGGAATATGAAATCATACATACAGGAATATGAAATCATACATACAGAAATATGAAATCATACATACAGGAATATGAAATCATACATACAGGAAAATGAAATCATACATACAGGAATAGGAAATCATACATTCAGGAATAGGAAATCATACATTCAGGAATATGAAATCATACATACAGAAATATGAAATCATACATAAAGGAATATGAAATCATACATACAGGAATATGCAATCATACATACAGAAATATGAAATCATACATACAGGAATATGAAATCATACATACAGAAATATGAAATCATACATACAGGAATATGAAACCATACATACAGGAATATGAAATCATACATACAGGAATATGAAATCATACATACAGGAATATGAAATCATACATACAGGAATATGAAATCATACATACAGGAATATGAAATCATACATACAGGAATATGAAATCATACATACAGGAATATGAAATCATACATACATAAATATGAAATCATACATACAGGAATATGAAATCATACATACAGAAATATGAAATCATACATGCAGGAATATGAAAACATACATACAGAAATATGAAATCATACATACAGGAATATGAAACCATACATACAGGAATATGAAATAATACTTACAGGAATATGAAATCATACATACAGGAATATGAAAACATACATACAGGAATATGAAATCATACATACAGGAATATGAAATCATACATACAGAAATATGAAACCATACACACAGGAATATGAAATCATACATACAGGAATATGAAATCATACATACAGGAATATAAAATCATACATACAGGAATATGAAATCGATGAAGTCCACTGGGATTTGATTTTTCTGACCGTCTGACAGTGGGTGTGCATTCTGAAACAAAACAGACATGTTTAAGAAAAGTAAGTGCTGAAGATGGGGATAGAGTGCTTATAGGAAGTGTTGAGATGTTGGGTCTTGACTTAACTCTCAACTATTACCCAAGAGCTATAGATGATGATGATGGGAACATCTTGCGTGTCAGGTAGTCACTGTTGCACTTTTGTAACAAACGGGTTCACTTCGTACTTGCTCCCTTCCTATGCCAACAAACACCACATAAAATACCCACCACTATCCCATGTGAAACATTTTTTACAGACTGCAGTCCCAGCAAAGCCAATAGCATGCACACACATTAAATGCATAAGACAGCCATTAAAAGTCCCAAGACAAACAGTCTAGCACTAGCAATATGATTCATCGTCAATGGAAGCAGCAGTTACAACAAATCTGTAGTTGCACATGCAAATAATTAAATAAGGTACCACATCTCTGCCAACAGGCCATTTTCCATATCTGCAGTTTACAACACAAATCATGTTGGGAGCAGCTGAAAATCATACCACATAAAATATGCAGCTCAAAGTGTCGCGCCAGGCACTCAACTCAGTAGTGATGGAACTAAATCCTTTCAGTCTTCACATGGAGGAAAATGCAATAGCTAACAACCATCAAAAGCAAAAACATGCCACGACTAAAAATAGTAAGCAGCCTATCCACCATACTGACCAGGAGCCCTTCAACATCTTGATTAGAATTACACAAAGGACTGCCCAAAATGGAATCTTATACCCTTTCCTACCCAAGGCGTCACTCATATCCTGTGACCATCTTCATGCTGGTCGACCTCTGCCCCTCTTTCCTGATAAATTGCATTTTCCTGTTAATCTTTCTAACAGACCTCAGTGCTTGATATGGCCAGAATATTCCAGTTTCCGAGACAAGATGCTGTCTTGCATTAAGCCCTCAATTATTCTAGGCTCTGACATACAAGGTGCGATGGCCCATTACCATTCTTGCCACCTTCCTTTCCAGATAATTCCCAGAGTGTGAGTTCCTAGAAAACTGTCCGATACCCCATATTATGGGGCTAGACCAACCCCAGATCTCTACTGGTCAGACAATCTAATCCTATCTCTGCTAGAGTCTGCACTCAGACCACTACATTAGCAGAGAGGAGCACCAGCCATGATGCAACTGCTTCTTCTGGGTTTGATATGAGCCACAAAGTAAAGTAAAATATATGCCATGATGCCACTGTTTCTTCTGGGTTTGATTTGAGCCACAAAGTAAAGTAAAATATATGCCATGATGCCACTGCTTCTTCTGGGTTTGATATGAGCCACAAAGTAAAGTAAAATATATGCTATGATGCCACTGCTTCTTCTGGATTTGATATGAGCCACAAAGTAAAGTAAAATATATGCTATGATGCCACTGTTTCTTCTGGGTTTGATATGAGCCACAAAGTAAAGTAAAATATATGCCATGATGCCACTGCTTCTTCTGGGTTTGATATGAGCCACAAAGTAAAGTAAAATATATGCCATGATGCCACTGTTTCTTCTGGGTTTGATATGAGCCACAAAGTAAAGTAAAATATATGCCATGATGCCACTGTTTCTTCTGGGTTTGATATGAGCCACAAAGTAAAGTAAAATATATGCCATGATGCCACTGCTTCTTCTGGGTTTGATATGAGCCACAAAGTAAAGTAAAACAAAGGATCCTTTTCCACGCCTTCAGGTGTACTGAGCATAAAGGGCAAGACCTGTATTTTGTAGACCAATCTGCACTTGGTGGGTAATGTGGTCAACATCACACCGGCTGCCTTTACTTCCAGGACTCTACCTAGTACCCATTTAAATCTGTGTTGATCTGGGAGCTGAAGGACTGCTTTAGGACAGTACAGCTCCAGCATGTCATGTACTAGAATCCTTTACTGAATTAGTATCTTTAACTAAGTTGTTAAACATGTATAACTCATCACTAATATTACCTATGCTTGTTTACCTGTGCTATTTTCCTGGCTGGAATAACTGAGGTTCAGAGTCAGGTAATGATCTTTACAGATGTTCCCTGACAAAGTGTTCTTGTTATTCTGATCTTGACTCAGAGAATTGTTCTGGCTATCAAGGTCAGACTTGCTCTGGCTTCTTGAGAATTTGGCTTGAGTACAATGAAGCTGGCCAGCTTGTCCTTTTGTTGGTGCATCATCAGACTTGATCGATGTACAGTCCACCCAGCTGAGGCTCCTTCCTTCCTTGGTCTCATTTGAAGCTGCATGATTTCTGTGACCGGTCTTTTGTTTGTGGGAAGTACTTTGTTTAGACTTCGTCAAAACACTGTTTAGTTTCAGTGGTGTGTCTCCCGTCAGTGGTGTGTCTCCCGTCAGTGGTGTGTCTCCCGACGGTGGTGTGTCTCCCGGCAGTGGTGTGCCTCCCGACGGTGGTGTGTCTCCCGGCAGTGGTGTGTCTCTCCGCTGGAAGCAAGGCGCAGGTACACAGATGTCACAAGGTACCCTAACCTGCTTTGAAGACATGCTCTGAATCTCCATGACTTTTGAAGTGATGCTCTGCTGATCAACAGGTCTGGAACTATCCAGACTAACTCGCTCGGCAAAGTTCTCACGTTCTAACCAGATTTTTACGATTTCATCAGTACTATCAGGGCTTTCTTCTCTTTGAAGTGACCTTCCACTGGATTGTCTAGTTTGTTTTAAAGGCTTCATTCCTTTCTCGGAGTCTGGTATTTCCGTTTCACTCTCAGAAATGTCCTGAAAACTGATGACTCTGTCGGAGACCTTGGAGTCATGACCTAGTGAGAACTTTGATCTTGACACTGATGTCTGGGATGGAAGGAAGTTGTTTATGCTGGGCTTGCCGAGGTCTGGCACATTTGTGGATTTGTTTCTTGGTCTTCGTAAGATGGAATGATGACTTTTCTTTGAGGTGCTGAAACTGAGTCAAAACAAAATGTAATTATTAGGGCTGTACCAAATATTCGCTTCGTATTCGCTTCGGGGCCGAATAGTGGACCTAAAAACTATTTGGTATTTGGCCGAATACTTGCGGTCGGGCCGAATACGAATAGTGGTTACCTTACACCCGTTTCTGCATACACTGCGATGGACTGAAAAAACTCTCTCATTAACACAATAGTTGCTGTTGTCTAAGTCTGTCGTAGCGGGAAAAACTGCGACCCGGTTGCGTGGTACATCAGCTGGCAAGGTCTTTGACTGCCCACTCGACCGAGGCATTACAGCAGAGTTTTTGAAACTGGTTGCGTATGCCAGGGGTGTCGCAGCAAAAATCAAGTCGGCTATAAATTGTGACATTATTTAAGAAGGCATGAAGATACTTAAAAGTTACAATTTAAATTGTTTTTCCTCGGCACTACCGAAAAGAGGACAGGCAAAAACTGCATTTCATAAAATGAAGAACATCTTATGCAATATATCTTTGTCACTGAAGGTTAGAAAAAGAATTCTTGCTTGCTACATACATCCAGTTTTAATATATGGCTGTGAGTCCTTTACAATTGGTAGGCAGGTCAAACAATTTCTTGAGGCCTCAGAAATGTGGTTTTACAGAATAGTTCTTAAAATACCTTGGACAGCCACAAAAAAAGCAACCAAGAGGTTTTAAAAGTGGTGGGAGCCCTAAGACAACTAATCACAGACATCAGAAGGAGACAGTCATCATTTTTTGGTCATATTATGATAAAAAAGGAAAATGGAACATGTGGTGACCACTGGAAAGATCTGTGGAAGGAGGGATAGAGGAAGAGAAAAGATTCTTGACAGTCTTGTTGCATGGCATGGAGGTGTGTCTGCACATGAACTAATACATGCTGCAGGAGATCGCAGATTGTGGCGAGGCATAATCGCCCACGCCAGTCGGCAAGGCACCTGATGATGATTATATACTATTCGAATTCGGCCGAATAGTTAGTCCCGCTATTCATTTTCGGCCGAATAGTGAAAATCACTGTTCGGTACAGACCTAGTAATTATACAACATAAAGATGACAACTGTATATAGTTTCTCTCTCTCTCTCTCTGTGGGTGGCCGTGTGTGCATGCACGTGTATATATACTGCATAATTTGTCTACACAAAGATGTAGACCAACTGGCAATGCACTAATATAAGTGGGAAGAAGCCTGGGCAGAGCTAATCAAGTCAATGCTGTAGAGCAGAGCTATTCAACTGGCAGCCCTCCTGCCAATGGCTTAGTTTGGCTAGCTTTGCAAAAAGAAATACAAAATTTGTCAAGTTCAACCAGCATCCCCAAAGGGAGTGCTTTAGGTTACAACTGTGGCTATGTTATGTGCGCCATATAAAATGGCTTAGCATTGCTGGCCACCAAGTAGCTCTGAAAAGAACTCTTGCAGTGTGGATGCAATCAAAAGAGAGAGACCTAAATACTGCCCCTACCGGCAACAAAGTTGTTTACTGGTGAGCCAATGGGCAACCTGGTCACCGATGATAACCCTCTGGCCAAATCTGGCCCATAGAGATCTAGCAAGAGGCTTGCAGATTAGCTGCCAATTGCACTGGATTAAAGATCTTTCTATGCTGAAGCTTGGGTTTCTGGGTCTGCAACGATTCCCATTTTCCACCATTTTGACCTCTAAGTAAACTCAGCTGAATGGCCCTGCTGTACTGACTAGGCTGTTGAATAATGATGAACTGTGATGCTAACCAGATCACATGGCCTGGGTAAAATCTGGTCAAACTTGTCTATGCTATCTTTGAGGCCAAGAGAAGAGTCGCTATAACTAACTTCTCAAGGGAACAGTCAATAGAGGAATTTGGGTGTGTGGGGGGAGGGGTATACATGAACCCACCGTGTCTACACCCCATGCAGTTGCAACCTGCACCAAAGCTGTTATACAGGTGTAGTGACTGCTGCATAAAGACAACATGCCATTATAGGTCGAGAGGGTTAATGTAGGATGCTGGGGGTTAAAATAATAAGTGATTACTGATTTCTTCCTTCTTCTTTGCATTCGGTTTCATATGCTCAGGTCAGACCATCAGGTGGGTTGCCTCTATGAACTTGCATGTCAGCTGCAGGTCCTTCATGGTTCCTCTAGTTTGCACTACACACTTTGCTCTTGAGGCCAGGTTTCTTTTCAAAGTTGTATTACTGATTTGAGAATTGCCATCATAGCATACAGGGCACTTGCACAGACTCTTATGCAGCAAATATTTTTATGTGTAGATGATGACTGTTTCAGTAGCACACTGGTAAAATATATGCCATACTTTTCCCCTCATGCATCTTTTGTTGCATAGATCACACTTAATTCCAAATTGACACACATACTTACAAATGTTGTTTAATCTAGCATCATATAATAACATTAAAAAGGAAAACATAAATTATAATACACATTGCAACAGAATGGGTTATGGTATCATCTAGTAAATCAAGAACAACTTGACGTATCATCTCTCACCAACAGAAGAAGAGAATAATCAAATCAATCAGAAAGCCACAAAAACCAACAAAAGATGATCACCATATAATGGACAGACCAGATTAAGTTATTATTCTACGCCTTAGAACAGCACAAAATCGACATTGCAGCCACACGAACACACAATTTTACATTAGCAAATCAGCCATGTGCACATGTGGATTGACACCTGAGACAACAGATCATGTCTTCCAAGACTGTCCCAAATACAACATATCAAGGCAAAATCTTTGACCAAGAGAAGCAACACTGGTACAAGCCAAACTTCACAGGTCCCTGACTGAATTACAACATACAGTGAAATCATACTAGAGACAACATTGCAGATATAGATAATATTTTTCCAGTGAATGAAAGATGAAGAAGAAGAAGGTACTATCTAGATAAGAAAAGATTAGAAATGCTTATCGCGTAAAGAATAACCAGTAATACACTGTCAGTTACTTAGTACTGAAAGAGTTAATTACCACATGAAAGAAACAAACAAAATAAATTACCTATCATCAACACTAGTTTTACTAGTTTGTGCTTTTTTGAGAGACCTCTGCTCATTTGCTGACATCTCTGACAGATTAACACTCTTCAGACTGCCATTTTCAATGTTTAAATTATCTGTGCAATCAGCAGACACTGCTGCTGACCTGTTAGAGGAGCTTTTCTTCTTGTGAGACTTGGCAATGTGATGTTGCAATACTCGCATGTTTGGACAAAGTGTCTTTGATGAAGTGACTTTTGGGTTCCTTTCACAATTAGGATAATTGAAGTCATCATGGTGTTGCTTTGCATTACTGTTAGCTTGTTTAGGTGACAGATTAGGGTTTCTATTTTTCAGCTGTTTCTTCTCAAAGCATGATTCAGTCATGCTTTTCCTCTGCCTTTCAGTCCAATTGTCTCCATCTGTTGCAAAATGCTGCAGTTCATTTGTGTTTTGTTCAGTTTTACCAGGCCTATTATCTGCAGCACCACTATTCTGTGAGTGATTGCTGAGTCTTCTTGAGCTCATCAAATGCAGGTTTTCTTCTAAACATTCTGTGGACCTATCAGAAACATGTCTGCATGTCTTTCCATGGTTCCCTATATGCCTAATTTCTGTGGATAGCTTCTGACTCAGGCTAAATTCTTCATCATCTGTGCTTTCATCACTGCTAACACTGTATGCTAGACGTGACCTTCTGCGCTGGATTTTTTTCTGAATGGTTCTAAGCTTCGTTTTTACCCAGAAGTCACTGTCCGAGTCTGACCCAGCGGCAAGTCCACTCTTGGGGTATATATCAGTGATACTTGTCTGACATGCTTCTGTAACAAAATCTCTACCATTCACTTTCTTTCTCTTGTCACAAAGTTGTTCCACGTTTACAAATCCACATGTGTTATCTACGTGGTCAAGAGAGTTTGAAGATCCATGTACAGCTTCATGGTTCATAGTATCCTTCATGGTTTCCTTACTTATTGCAGCTTTAAAGTTGTCCTTAAGCATTTTGACCTCAAAGGTGTCTTTATTTACTGCAGCTCTGAAGTTGTCCATTTTTACTGCAGTGTCATAGTCTTCCCTAGTTAAAACAAGGACAAAGTCATCATTACTTTTCATACTCTGTTCCTCTAATATCTTATTCACAGCAGTCTGTCCTTTATGAAACAAACAAACTTCTTTGTTAAGGTCATATTTGTTTTTCTGATTTGTTTTTATCAGCTGTTTGTTGGGAATATCCCCAGAGTATGGACCATCACCTGACTTGACTAATTTGTCTTGAGCCTCACCATCCACATCAGCCCCAGAAGTCACTGATGGTCTATTTGTCCACTCAGCTGCACAAGGGAATGCAAACTGACTTTGAAGCGTGCCACTGTCTGAGAAATTTCTTGAAGACACGGCCTTGTTCTTCTCTGTCACTATATTACCCACTGTCAAATCTGTACATGGAATATTATTCACTGAAGGATCAGATAACTGTTTGGGTTTCCTAGGGAACATAGGTGGTTTTATATTTGTCATCATCTGCCTAAAGAACTCAGCCTTCTTCTTCACATTGCCTGCAGCACCTGTGGCTACAGCACTATCATCTAGTGAGTGTTCAGTGGAGATGTTGCAGCTTGGAGGGGAGACATGAAAGCCAGAGTTGTCTTGCTGGTGGTACTGTGTGCCATCAAGGTCATCATCAATGTAGAACTCTTGGAACTCAAAGTCACAGCTCTTGTCTGCCTGAAAGCATAAAGCAATCAACAATGTACAAAACTCAAAAAGTCACAGCTCTTGTTTGCCTGAAAGCATAAAGCAATCAACAATGTACAAAACTCAAAAAGTCACAGCTCTTGTCTGCCTTAAAGCATAAAACAATCATCAATATACAAAACTCAAAAGTTACAACTCTTGCCTGCCTCAAAGCATAAAACAATCATCAATGTACAAAACTCAAAAGTTACAACTCTTGCCTGCCATAAAGCATAAAGCAGTTATTAATGTACAAAACTCAAAAGTCACAGCTCTTGTCTGCCTTAAAGCATAAAGAAATCATCATAAAGAAATCATCAATGTGCAAAACTCAAAAGTTACAGCTCTTGTCTGCCTGAAAGCATAAAGCAGTTATTAATGTACAAAACTAAAAAGTCACAGCTCTTGTCTGCCTTAAAGCATAAAGAAATCATCATAAAGAAATCATCAATGTGTAAAACTCAAAAGTTACAGCTCTTGTCTGCCTGAAAGCATAAAGCAATTATCAATGTACAAAACTAAAAAGTCACAGCTCTTGTCTGCCTTAAAGCATAAAGAAATCATCAATGTACAAAACTAAAAAGTCACAGCTCTTGTCTACCTGAAAGCATAAAGAAATCATCAATGTGCAAAACTCAAAAGTTATTCTTGTCTGCCTGAAAGCATAAAGAAATCATCAATGTGCAAAACTCAAAAATCATAGCTCTTGTCTGCTTGAAAGGCAAAAAACAATTAACAATGTACAAAACTCAAAAGTCACAGCCTTGTCTGCCTGAAAGCATAACAAATTCATTGTCGCATGACAGCTCCCACCCTTCCAATGGGATAAACTGTCTCATCAACAAGTCACTACAGAAATGCCGGTTAAGCGACATTTTCAGGAAAACAAACACTACTAGAAATGCTGGGTTTGTGGCTTCACATGCAGTAAGGGTTGAGGCATAATTTGTTGCATCACTACTGTAATAAACATTCTGTGCACCTTAATTTTTTTGTAAAGGAAAAATGTCCTTACTACTATACCAATATTGCTACAATGGAGGCTGCCAAAATATTTATTTATAGAAGAATGGAGAGAACACCATGGACCAAAAAAACAAAAGAATAAAGGAGATATGATGAAAAAAACTACCAAACAAAAAGAATTTGTTACCCACAATCCATTCTTTTTGCACTTCCCGACAAAGATAAATTTAGAGTGTGTAATGAACTTTGGAAAACTGTTTGTGTGCATGCTTATGTATATGTCATAGAGAGAAAGGATACAGGAGACCAAGAGATGTGAGAGTTTGGTATCATGACTGACTGTATCAGAAATGACTGACAGTACACAAGACAGAAGGCTGTCAACAAACATGATTTCTAATGCCATGAACTGGGGAAAAAAAAAAAGGAGTGGATTTTATGGCAGATTAGACTGAGTGGTAATAATTCATTTGAGGATTTACTCAAGACCCTCACCTTGAAATCACCAACTTTGGAGACTGCTGTCTGAAATTCGTTGTTTTTTCCCTTGCTTCTATCTTCCTCTACAGTTGATGCCAGGGAAATGTCTGTGAGTCCATGTAAACTGTCTCCAGATTCTGTTCTTTGGACTAAAATTATAAGCATGTATAGAAAGTACTCAAGTAAAAGTTAGTTGGTATCCTTTACAGGACGCTGCAGAACCAACCCCAGCATTGTTTAGTTGTCTTGTTTTTCTAAAACAATTTTTACGATCTGAAAGGTCAGCTCATGGTACCAATGTCTAAACCAATGCTAGACAAATCATCTACAGCTGGGAACGAAGCGCATTCGCAATGCCACAGATGCCGATTATACTTGTAGTAAGACAGATTTTTAAAAACGACAGAAAAAACACTGAAAAATACTAACATCACAGAATTGTAGAAATGTTCAAACTGTGACCTGCTTGTTTAAAGAGTTCATTAACTCCCTTTATAACAATCATGCATCCAGCGCTATCCTTACCTAATAGTCAAGTAACAGACAGCTTGTGCTGACAAGCTCTCTTTGAAATGACTGTTAAAAATTAATTACAAATTATAATTACAGCAACTGCCAGGAAACGTTTGTGAGCCCTTTGAGGATTACACCCCATAGGCTAGGAACTACTACTCTAGACAGATTCCATTCAAGGTAGATGACTCTGTTTACAGGATTGTGTTTCTCCATTGCAATCTTGTCCAACAGCCCTAAACTCTACTCTGTGATTTTTAATTGGCTTGAGGTTTGTAGTGTACACATCTTGCATAGTTATATAAAAGAGAGTGTTCTTTATTCAAGTTAAAAAGAATTTAAAATTGAGAGGATTGTTTTCCCACTTGGCTCAGAACATTTCAACCTCAGAATGGCTAGCCAACTGCCGAGAGCACAGCAAAAAGCAATAACTCCATAGCTTCCAGCAGTTATCCCCAGGGTCACTCAAGAACAGACAATGCAATCTGTAAAATGAACCCATGGCCTTCAGAGTGAAGAGCAAATGATTTGACTCCATCAACACGAAGAGGGAGATCTATAGTCAAGAGAAGAGAAGAAATGGAGAACATTGTGGCAATGAAAAGATGAGCAGTAACAGAGGTAGTGACAGAATTATGCTGGACTGTCTAGAACACTAGAATGTAGGAAAAGCATCAAGAGAGCTTCAAAGACCAAGGTCTGTCAAGTGAAATGAATGTCAGTCAAGCCAACTGGCAAGGCACATGATGATGATAAAAAATCATTTTGCAAGTACAGCAGCCGCATAGTCAACCAAAAATCGCCGTTACTGCCTGTGTTTACTACTTCTGTGCTGTGGGCTGGGGAGGGGGTCTTTGAGTTTGTAGCGAAGTGGTCAAGCAGTTTGCCTCGCACTCTTAAGGTCATAGGTTCGATTCATGGCTGCCTCGTTCAGTTCACGGGTGCAACATTTACGTAGATCCCTGGGGCTTGTCGCCAAAGCTACAGAGTTTGTGCATTGTACGATGGTCTCGGTGGGCGGCTAGCCACTTTGCGGAGAGAGACTGGTCCATATAACATAAAGCCTGGTGCAATAAAGTCGATCCTCTCGACTTTAACCATTAACCTTTAGTCTACTGTTTGTAATTTTTAAACTCCTGACATGTTTCAAGAGCACATCTTACAGACACGATCTCCTCCTGTTCTCAATTGTAGGGGAGCACACTATGTCAAATCTCCTTAACCAAGAGATAAATAAATGGGATGTCACTAGAAATGATTCTTTTTCTCCTCCTCTTCTTTGTCCAGTTGCCTAAACTTAGTGAGAAGATGATCTTCTGAGTGCTCTTTTTGTAATAAAGGGCTATGTATTTTGGTTTTTCTTTCTGTGTTTATTCTTCTTCCCTTTGCTCCATATTCATGATATTTCTCCAGCATGGCTCTCTGTGGCATTTGGTTTCAGGGCATTTTGTCACCTGTTGCTATTTAATGAACTCTACTAACAAGCTTCATATTTTTCTTCTAATTTCTTTATTTTTAATTTTATCTCTTCTTGTTACTCCAACAGATCTCATAACAAGACTGGATTCTGAATGAGTAATATCTCACAGATGAGAATTAAACTTCTCATCTCTGCTGTATGATTTTCTCCAAGACTGGATTCTGAATGAATAATATCTCACAGATGAGAATTAAACATCTCATCTCTGCTGTTTGATTTATCAACCATCTGTTGTAACAATTTGTTTGACACAGGTAGCCTAAAGTAATGATCACAGAAATGAATGCTTTATCTATGACCCATCTGCCACTCCTAGTTTGTTTATAAATATGAGAAATGATAGATTGGTGCAAAAACTGACAGAAGACAAGAGAAATATACAGTGATACCTCGGTATATGTCCATTTTCTAGCAGGTCCGACTTGGTTACCTCTCTTGAGCCAAAGCCACAACTGCCTATGAGCATCGGTATGCCAGTTGCTACATTCAGTAAACCAGCGCTATAAATGTGAATTTTCACATGATTTTAAATTTTTGCTGTGCATTTTTAATAATTGTATTAACCGTGAGTTGTACGAAAGTTAATGAGAAAAGCCAAGCATCCAGCAGGTATGTGACCGAGATCAGTCACGAAAAAAAATGGACCAGTACACCAGTAGACATGCATGGCATCTCTAAGGTTGACATCACACTGGGGAGGTACTGCAGGGATTAGATTCCTGCGGTCATAGACACATAGTTAAGGGCACTGATAGATCAGCATTCACACCCAGAAGACATCATAATCTACACAGATGGATCCGTGAAGTGTGGATCAAGGTCAGCATGGACATACACAGCACAAAGGATGAGGAAAACGAAGAGGAGAGCAACACTTACCAGGCAACTATGTCAAGCATGCCCATGGAGATAGCTGCTGCTTCTAGAGCACTGGCATTGGCAGCACAGTGAACAGCCACTCATGCAGTAATTGTATCGGAGTCCATAAACATGCTTTAGAAGATAGCATTAGGCGGTATGAGCTCTGAATGGGTAGAAAGCATTCACAAATCGCCTAACCTTCCTCACCTGGATCTACACATACCTGGTCATGCTGGTGTAAAGGGTAATGAGTGAGCCGACCAACTGGCAAGCACCAACGCATGTGGAAAAAAGCATAAACAGAGCAGAGATCATCATCGCTGTACAGACTGAGCTAGTGGATAATGACAAATCTCTGAAACTAACATGACTGCGTGACATGATAGTAAAGCATGTGAAGCTCATCTATGCTGCCTTCGAGGTTGAGATAGGAGACATTATAATCAACCTGTCATAATCAACCAATTAGTAGAAGTACCTTGGAGTGGCTGCTGCATTGAAGGACTGAGCACGTATGGGAATGCCCAATGAGCAGTGACGGCGATTTTGATAACATAGCTGAGAAAATGGTTAGGAGCACCATAGAGATAAAAAAAAGAAAGATACTTGAAAAGTATCAAGGTGGCTTGAGATATGCCAAAAACACTAGGATTTTTTTCTTTATGGGAATGGATTAATCATTCTTCCTTTATTTCTTATGGGGAAATTTTTTGGTATACATCCTTTCTGGCATAAGTCTAAGGATCTGGAACGGAGTAAGGATGTATACTGAGGTATCACTGTATTGCTAACATAACTTCTCACAGCAAAATGTCAGAATACCCCCTGGGGGGAGAAAAAGGTGACATAAATGCACAGTGGTGAGATTGTAAGATGCGAACATCAACACACATCACCTACCCAGTTTAGTAGGTCTCAGTCTCACTTTCTCTTTAATTTTTGACAGCTGACCGCCTACCCAGTGTTCCACCTTGTCTGAGTTGACACTTGTGCTCTGAGTACAACAGGCTATATAACAGAAGGTCATCATTTTTCAATAGCCTGCCAACTCATTACATTATTGAATGAGACATACAGACCATCATCATCATCAATATCACCCTGTCTTGCCATTATACACTACATGAGGCCCAAAATCCATTTGTTCATTCAGTTCTGTCCTGTGCAATCCTGTTGATATTATATGCTGACAATCTTAACTAGGGCTTTTTTGTTGTTGCCAGGCTTATATTAAAAGCCTCCTGACAATCTTAACTAGGGCTTTTTTGTTGTTGCCAGGCTTATATTAAAAGCCTCCTGACAATCTTAACTAGGGCTTTTTTGTTGTTGCCAGGCTTATATTAAAAGCCTCCAGACAATCTTAACTAGGGCATGGGTGGAGGGGGAGGCTCATAATTAAAAATACTCCTGACAACCCGTGCTTATATTTGTTGCCTGGCTCATATTAAAAGCCTCCTGACAATCTTAACTAGGGCTTTTTTTGTTGTTGCTGGGCTCTTAAAAGCCTTTTGAAAATTTTGCTGGGGCTTATATTTGTTGCCGGGCTCATTTTAAAAGGCTCTTGAAAATAATGCTACGACTTGTAATTATTGCCAGGTCCATATTTAAAATCTCCTGACAATTGTGCTAGGGCTTATTTTTGGGATGGGTCTTATTTTCAGGGAAATAAGGTATACCCTTTTACATGATATTGCAAACTAATCCTAACACTGATTTTTGTGTGATTTTACTAGGAAATTTACTTTAAGAAGTTTGCAAACGAGTTAATGTGAACATTTTCAGATCATGTATTTTGCCTATGGCAACTTATGGCAACTCAGAGCTTTTGAGCTGAAATGTTTCAGAAACATTCTCAGAATACCATCAAACAAGGAGAAGACAAACACTGACATCCTAAATGATCTGAATTGGCTCATAAACAGCAACCCATCACAGAAGCTGAAGCGTTTTTGCCACATTATTATGGTGGCCTGGGGGAAAAAATGATGATAGAGGGTAGTTTCTGGAAAACATCATGGTGGCCTGGGAAAAAAATGATGACAGAGGGTACAGTTTCTGGAAAACATCATGGTGGCCTGGAAAAAGTGATGATACAGGGTACAGTTTCTGGAAAACATCCTGGTGGCCTGGGGGGGGGGGGGGGGGAATTTTGATAGAGGGTACAGTTTCTGGAAAACATCCTGGTGGCCTGGGGGGAAAATTTTGATAGAGGGTACAGTTTCTGGAAAACATCCTGGTGGCCTGGGGGAAAAATTTTGATAGAGGGTACAGTTTCTGAAAAACATCCTGGTGGCCTGGGGGAAAAATTTTGATAGAGGGTACAGTTTCTGGAAAACATCATGGTGGCCTTGGAAAAAAATGATAATAGAGGGTACAGTTTCTGGAAAACATCCTGGTGGCCTGGGAAAAAAATTATGATAGAGGGTACAGTTTCTGGAAAACATCCTGGTGGCCTGGGGGGAAAATGATGATAGAGGGTACAGTTTCTGGAAAACATCCTGGTGGCCTGAGGAAAAAATGATGATAGAGGGTACAGTTTCTGGAAAACATCCTGGTGACCTGGGGGAAAAAATGATGATAGAGGGTAGTTTCTGGAAAACATCATGGTGGCCTGGGGAAAAAATGATGATAGAGGGTACAGTTTCTGGAAAACATCAATTGACTAAAGACAATAAGACTTTTGGGTGTACTGCTATGAGAGCAATACTCTCTAAAGAGCCTGCTGGCTGATGATGATGATAGTTATAATAATGTGTTTGCAATTAGCAGTATACTCCAAAGCAGACCAAGAAGATGAAGGAAAGATAATATACAAACACTTGAAGTCACATCTGGAAAGGTGTGGCAAATTTTACAGATGAATAGAGACAGGTGATATCTGCAGCAATCAACCTCAATAGCTTAGAATACTGAAGAAGTTTGCCTCTGCTTTCTGAACAAAACAAAACTCACACTGTTGTGAAAATCAAAGCAAAGAGGTCAAATAAGCCTTCTGCTAAAAAATACTCACCAGAATCATCATGGCTGCTAACTGCAAACAAAACCTGGTAAATGCGAGTCCCAGCCGTCTCCAAAATATATGTGGAGTCCAGATCATCACACCTAGCAGAATCAACTACCATTTGTCTATTCTCTTTGGTGCTGACCTCTGGCGCCACCTTGTAAATACGAGACTCAGCCGTCTCCAAAATATATGTTGTGTCCAATTCATCACCACCAGCGGAATCAACTACCATTTGTCTATTCTCTTTGGTGCTGACCTCTGGCGCCACCTGTAACATATGAGTTTCAGCAGTCTCCAGCTGATGTTCCATGTCTACAGCATCACCCCCAGCTGAATCAACTATCATTTGTCTATTCTTCCCTTTCGTGTTGACCTCAGGCATCACCTTGTATAAGTGAGTCTCAGCAGTCTCCAACGGGTATGCTGAGTCCACATCATCATCACCAGCAGAATCGACTATCATTAGTTCATTCTCTTTCAAGTAAGAATCACCTTGTTCTGTAGTCTCAGCAGCTTCAGATGTCATCTGGTGGTGGTGTTTCTTCAGGCTTAGTTCCACTTCTTCATGAATAATACCAAAGCTACATTTCCTCATGACATCACCACTGTCCACCAAAGAATATCTGTCACTAAAGGACAGACTCGATTCTTGAACTTGTAAAATACGTTGCCCATTGTCGACTTCATAAGACTGATCAAGAGTATGTGTTCTTGATGGATTACCCCTATTATCATGTGTGTCAACACAAGAGTTTTCAACATACACACAATTTCCCTCTTTTCCTGTTTCATCAAAGATTCCACACACATTTTCACTTTTGGATTTTCCGTGTAATGGTTCACCTGACTGCAGTTTTGAAGAGGCTAGTGGAACTGGAATTTCAGTTTGAGTAGAATTTGTGTCCATAAACTTAATTAAGTGACTGCAATCTTTTGTCTGGCAGGAGGTTTCCAAGTCTGGAGGATGGTCATCAACATAAGGAGGTAGCTGACTGACTGCCCCCATAGATCTGGACAGGAACTTCTGGTGGACTTCCTTGACTTCCTGTAATAAAATCTTTTGAGCGTGTGAGCATCCATCATGTCCACCTCCTCCATTCCTGCCCGACAGCTGCAAGAAGACAAGGATGGAATACATTCAAAACAAAGTACAATAAAGTTAAACATTTTTTTTATGCAACAAGCATATATGTAGCTTATTTGTTACAGACCAATCAAAACTCAACAGGTGACGGGATCTACATCAGATTAGTTGCCTTCAAAATATAGAAAATGTCCTGGTACCAATTTTTAAGCTGGGTTGACTTGTTTACAAAGAAGAAAAAAATTACTGTTAAATGTTAAAGTTAAAGGACCCATCGTGCATGTGAAGACAGATACATTCTTTTTCTTTACCATCTGCAACTTAGTGGGTAGTGGTTCTCAGTACACTGGCTGCCTTTACTTCCTATGACATTTCCAGGTACAAGTTTTAGACTGGATGGGCATGGGAGAACGTGTGTGCACATACACCCATACACAAATTATGTTCCATGTAGATAGTAAAGGTTCCCATTGACAAGTCTTTAGATGTATTGTGCTTGTGCTACTGGCTGCATGTTATAGAAAACCTTGTTCACACAAATCCACATAACCCCTTTCTCCAGCGAAAGCTAAAAACAAGAGGGTCATTAACCCGTTGGCATTTCCAGAAAAATTTCCTCTAGTAACAAGCAAATTGCATAGGTCACTAATACATTTAAACAAAAATAAAAAAAATACTTTTTTTAAATCTACATTCATGATACTTGTTTTCCTTCAAAAATCAATATATATATATATATAAAGGGGTACTTAATAAAAACGAAGGGTAATCAATAAACACAAACAGAGTGAAGCATTAAGTGAAACATATGCTCTTGGTCTAACAAAAAGTACAACATACAACATTATACAGTCTTATATATTTAACATCCCTGTGTAGGTTTCGGGGCCCCACTGTGGGGAAAACAGGAATAGACCCACTGCCTGCCCAACAAGCATGTCACAGGAGTCATCTTACTGGGGACTTCCTTTGAAGTCGGAGTACATCTGCGCGAGCTGCAAGGAACAACCCACCTCACACAATTAAGCCAGTAAAACGGATGTAGATGCAAAACTCAGGCCCTGGCACAAAAGCCAAAATCCAAACAGATGAATAACCAGGACTTTCTACTAGAGCTTACAGCGGGTGAAAAAAGAAGAAGATATATTTAACATTAGCTGTAGATCATAAGAAATTATTATTATTAGGGCAATCGCAGAAGAATAAAAGTAAGAGTGTCAATCTCCCAGGCTGTGATCCTGGAGTGGAATTAAACAACAAAAATATCTCACACAGAGAACATACCTTATGAAAATCTGAGTCACTGTTCGCTAATACCAGTTGCTGTTTGGTCTTTCTGTCTGGCCCCACACAGTCCTTGGGTGTACTGCTCTTTATATGTGTGGCTTTACATGCATTGACGGCTAGAGAAGTCTTCATGTCCATATTTACCAAAGACTCTTCCATAGCTATGTTTTTAGTATCTGGGGAAAAAATTAGAAAACTTGCCAACAACAAAATGCACACACAAAAAGGTAGCATATCAATGAGCAGAAATTTACTAAAAACAAAGTCCAACTATATTAAATTTAATGAAAATGACAATAAACTGTTCTGATATCTTAAACTTGTAGAAAAAAAATAACTACATAAATCAATAAAGCCATGGTAGCATATTTGTAAGTGTGCTTGCCTGCTGAGATAGTGACATGGATTCAAACCTCAGAAAGAAAAGAAATAATATTCTGTAGTTCAGATAAAGACATACTACAGACACCGATACAGTCATTAACATATCTCCTATAGAGCTCAGGAGTCTATCAGTGTACTTATGAGGTACGTATCTTATGGCTAGCTCTGACTTTGGTTCCCACAGCCATGGTCAAATTTAATAGAGATTTTAAAATACATATGAAGGAATGTCTACAGGTTGTGTGTAGTGAAATGACATACATTCTTTAGCTAACAAACACTAGACCTAATTCCTTTCTGTCTCCACCTCTTTTTTTTCTGGGTTTTTTTTTAACAGTAGTGTAGGACAGAAGTTCTTCAGCCTGGGAACCTACAGCAGCATGGCTTTTACAACCGCCTCATTACTCTTCAAGTTAGGACCTGATTCCTTCAGTTCTTAATCTCATTTTATAAATCATGTTAAACACTCTCGACAAACAGAACAAACACATATAAATCTAGACAGTGAAGCCAAATCTATCTGCACCACTCAGACTTACCTTCACAAATCAGGCACTTGTCGTCCCCATTTGGACTGTCACCTGATCTTCTAATCGACTGAGGTATCAGTCAGTACAAATAAAATATTTTCATCAACCATCTTTCCACACATAAAAAGGTTGTTTTATATATATATATCTGAACTATCTGCTACATTTATACATAAGTATAAGCAATCTTGGTCTATAGAAATATGGGTCTAGCATCATATGCCTTTGTCAGATGTGTCACTGGCTTGGGAATGGTCTATTATAAGTAGTTTATTTTACCAATAATTTCACTACAGATGTTTCTGTTTGAATCCTGAAAGCCAAGAACTGCCTCTACGAATCATCACATACTTCTGGCACGGGACTGCAGGTTACACCAGGCTGGTGAGCCATTGTGGGAATACCCAATTATAACTTTTTTGGAGGCTGAACAGGGTAGTTTCTGATTTGCTCTGTTGGTCCAGAGATTATGTAATCTCAGGGTGGTCAAACCTTCAGGAGGGGGAAGATGGAAGGAAAGATTGTTTCCATGGAAGAATCTTCATCTTCTGGTCTTCTTCATTCCATGTAAGAGGTGAGCGTGTCATTGGCTGATTGGCACCTTTCCGTCTTTCATAAAGATAGTGTTATACCGCACTATGAGGAGATATGGGACTCACAGCCCATGGTGATGACGAGTGTGACTAGCAAGACCCGCCCATGTTAAGAAAAGTCTTATACAGTTATAGCATGAGATTTCAGGACCATTGTTGTCAACATTTGTATTTAGTCTGTTTCTTCTCTGAATTATTTACTGTCATTACAGTAATGAGAAAAGAACCAGTGCAACAAAACATGCTATACGGCACAAAGCACCCTTAACTCTTTTTTAAGTCCCAGGGGGTTTAGCATCACAGGCCCAGGGGATAGTAAAGAAAGTAATAAAATCGGCGCATCATGCGTTCACTGGGCTTCTATATGAATGTATGATGCGTTACTTGGGACTCAAAGAGTTAATTGTTTATGCATAGGCAGTGAAGCTAAAAAAAATTGTTTCTATGGCAGTTGTCATGTTCTTCTTTATTCCTCTTTAGACATACAGGTACCATCAGTATTGGAACTCTGCGCTGGCTGCTAAAGATGAGGATGGAGCATGCATAGGATTGCCCCGAGTGCTTTGATGTCAATACTCGACTCAACTCCTCTTTAGAAATGGGTGTGCCTTTACAGTTAGAAATTAATGTAATGTTGAGAGGAATGACGTCACTGAACTAGGTTTGATCCCATACAGGTAGTATGGCTAGCTGAGAGTGCCACACATTGCACAAAACTCCGCAGCTCAACATGCAAGTTTCTCTGTCTCATGTAATATCACTCATGTCCAAAATAAATTTTTCTCCATGCTAGGATGCTAATTACAAAAAACGAGATTTGTCGTATAATTACCCAGCATATTAGCAACTATGAACCTCTTTTACCTAGTGAAAAGGCAGAAAATGCAATGGTAGAGATACGTAATAAGATTTAATGGCCTCTCAAAAACAATACTACAGGGCTCACTAGAGGGGGAGAGGAGAAGAGGCAGACCAAGAAAAAACTGGATACAGAACTTGACTGATTGGACTAGGCCTTAGGCCTGGACCATGAAGTTCATCGCATGTGACCGTCAAAGGTGGAGGTAGCTGATCAGACATCAACCGGTGACCCAATAACATGCAGTGTTACCGGATAATGATGATGAAGATGCTGGACTGTCCAAATCCTCTCTCTCTCTCTATCTTGGTCTCCCCATTCCTCTCTTCCCCTCCTCACATTAACCTGACAGACTTCGGTCTCCCATTCTCATGACGGGCTCAAATAATTTGAATTGTCCCCCCTGATCGAGGTACCCGGTGTGTACGGATTTCTCAGCAGCTGCAGTAGTCGTAGTAGTTGATGTTTCAACGTCACTGCAATCAGATCACCCAATTTATGCTCTGTTCCTGTGCCAGTGAAAATCAAAATAATTTATAATCACTGTCTCATCTGAAAAACTAGTGAAAAAACAATAAGTCCCAGCACAATGAAGAAATATGTGCCTCACAGTAAATGCAAAAGGCAGTTGCTGGAGATGCCACATCCAACAATCGCAACCAGATATGTAGTCTGTCATTCACAGAAGTAGTCAGTCATGATAAGTTGGGCATACACACAAAATTATAACACAAGGTGTTTTAGCAGCCCCCACATAGATCTGCTACCCGCCATTCTGAATACTACGACACAACCGCTGCATACAGGAAAGGAATTCCACAAGAAAAACACAACTCACAGTGCTGTTCCAAGCACTAAACTCAGTAGCTTAGGCAGTGAAACCGTAGACTTCCACCCATATGTGAAAACTGCACTAGCAAAGTGCTGTCAGAAGCCAAAACAACCCCATAGCTAAACATTCTGCCTAGCCTATCCTCCATACTGGTCAGTATTCTATGCTAAAGATATACTGTAGTCAATACTCAATGTAATTGGCAAGGTACCATGTACTCACCTCAGATGAGCTTTCAAGATCCTGGCAGCTACCTCTTGGTGCCATGCTGCCTTTCAAGATGGCCTGGCGAAGCTTGTGCTGTACAAAATAAGGTCAGATTGTTTATTTGTGTAGTCGGTCCTCGATATAAAATGTAGAAATCCTCCTAAACATGCAGACATTACAAAACAATATACATGGTCTTCATCTAAGATTCCTCCCTCCCTTCCCCCACCCTCCCTTCTTCCTTTCTGTGTTTACTCTTACAAGGGTAGCTGAGAGACTGAGTTGTGGCTATCAGCTAGGCTGTGATATCCACGCTTCTCGGCCCAACACATTTGATTTCAGTAAACCTTTCATTAGTCACTTTTTACAACCAGCTTTTTAAGGAGCAGTGCTTTATTCTTCTAACCTCTAAAACAACCATTTTCTACTTTGCCTATGTGAGGCAACGAGCAGGCAGATTATCTAGCAGGCAGGCATTGTGGCTGCTATGACAAGTCCAGTACAGAAGCAACGTCATCAATGCCATGCATAATGCACATCGCAAAAATAAATACCGAAAAAGGCATGACTGTATCCCTATCTAGGCTAGTGGACATGGGGGGTGCAATCTGAAGCTGCCAGAATTAAGCATGTTACTAATAGCATTAGCATTTTGATTAATCAACACAGAACATATGTTATCAGCCCCTTTATACCTGATGAGCTATTAGGGAGGAGGTCAGAGTACCTGTGGGTCTGCCCGGAGTGCTGTGAAGATAGTCCCTTTGGTCACTTTACTATTTCTAGTTCTCTTAGAAGCCACTTATCTGTTTCCTCTACATGCTTGACATTATGTCTGCTTTCTATCTCAATCAAACACATGTTTTATTTCATTCAGAAGCCACATCTCTAGATTTTTATCACATTTACATTTTTTTAAAATTTGTTTTAACCTTGCGGTTCACTGCTGCAGATATCAACCACCTCCATTCTTCGCTCTAGTTGGTCTTCTCTTTCCAGGTGGTGTCACCAAGTGTTTGTAGATCTGTCTGAATATAATCTCTCCACCGTCCACTTGGTCTGCCTCATGGTCGTCGACAATTCAGCTCCCTTAAGTATGCAGTTTTTACATCTCTGTCATCTTACATTCTCTCAATACACCCCAACAATTTCAGTCTATTAGCCCTCATGATGCCATTGATCAATTGTGATTTAAACAGATTATGAATTTCATTGTTGCTCCTTGCTCTCCATTCCCCGCTTGGTGCATCTTTGATGGGTCCAAAGATTTGTCGTAAAACTCTGTATTCAAAAATTTGTAATAAAGCTTCTTCTCTTTTAGCTGTGCTCCAAATTTCAGAGCCATGTAAAATAACTGGTCTATTTTGATCTTGATGTTTCAGACTTTGACTTCAGCATAGTATACTTTATTTCCAGATTGTATTCTAGATATTTCTTCTCTCAGTATTTTGGAGCAGTCGAAGTTTGCACCCAAGTACTTATATGTTTTTGTTAGTTTGATTTTCATATTATCAACTTGTATATGGCCGAAGTTTATATCCTTTGCCTGACTTATTATAACCATGTTTTCTGTCTTGTCTTGATTGATAACTAGTCCCATTTTGTGAGCTGCTTCTTTTAAGAGAGTCAGTGTGTTTACCTTCTCTAGTTCACTTTCTCTGACGATATCAATGTACACTGAAAAAAGAAAGCGAAAAAGAAAGTTGAAGGCCGGTGATCAAGTGACAGGCAATGAAATTAGCAAGACAATAATATCAAGATAAATGATAATCAAAAAATATTAGGTTTCTATTGAGATATTTAAGCATTCTAACCTGAATCAAACGGAAGTGATACTCCTCTGCCAGTTTCTTGACCCTTTCCCTTGACTCCCATTTTTCACAGCTTCTGCTGAAACATGAAAGACTCACACAGTTAGCATTTTAGCCCTTCCCAGTGTTTTAGTACTGCAGACTTTTACTGCAGAGTCTGGGAGTAACCTGAGGGTCTTGCCGGCTCACTACACTCAGAGGAAAGGCAAGATGGACATTTAACCAGATTGTGACAGGTATCATCAGTAGTGGAACTCTGCGCTGGCTGCTGAAGACGAGGACGGAGCACACATGGGAATGCCCCAAGTGCTGTGATGTCAATTCTTGACTCAACTCAACTCAACTTAGTACTGCAGAGTGACAAGCACTTCATTACAGCTGGCTCAATCTCCCTTTCATTTGTTGCAATCAAATGCCATGTCTGACTATAGTACCATAGAGATAAGTTGACTAACCACTGGATTATTCTTCTACTAGTGATTGCTTCTCTGGTTTACACCGACAGACAAGATCTTGTGATAAAATTGACTGTTTTTTTTTTTTTCCAGTTCCTTTTTAGTTTCACAGAACTCTGAGTATGGTGTTGACTCACACTGAGCCAGTACACAAATTCACTTCTCAAATTCATGCCTTAGAAAATGTAATTACTTATTCACAAACAAAAAAGTTGGGTCTACAATGTCAGCAAGTTTATTCACACTAAAACATTTTAATTTCTAACTATTTTCAAACAATTGACAGCAAAGTTTTCATACTGAATATTTCAATAAAAAAGGACACAATTGATTGCCTTCAGTGGTAAAATTTACAGTAAAATACTAGACTTGTGACTCTTGTGTTTTAGTTGAGAAAGCATTTTTTAGTTGTACTTTATTAAATGTTGATAAAGACATCGAGGAGCGGCTGACCGAACAGTTAGAGCGCTGGGCTCTTGTGTGGGAGACCTGAGTTCGAATCCTGGGGATTTGTTTCTGTCGGGAGCAAAATAAAATCCTCACCTGCACTGTCATGGCAAGAGCACTAGCCATGCCGCCTTAAATCCTCAGGCTCAAAGACCCCCTGCATATGCCACAAAATAGGTATATAAAGGCAGTAACTAGCAGTTATAGATATCACACATGTGACAGGATATGGTCAGTAATAAAGTGTGCAATATTTTGTTTGTGTCCTCATTATTTAAACATAGATAATTCATGATTTGTTGTCAGTTTAGTTTCCACCTGCATGAAATCTGGCACTGCTGGTAGCCTGTGTTGCGTGCTGATTTGGGAGAGTGAAATAGTGTGTGAAGGGACACACTGGTATGTTAGTACTTTCTGTGAGTTCATGGGGAATTAATGTCAACACTGGCCCAAGTATTGAGGGGGAGAGAGTGTTGACCAGTGAAAATGTATTATTATGAACGAGGCGTGCACGCACAAGGAGCAAGTCCTCGATATTCAGAACCTAAAGAATGTCAGAGAATAAGGCACCTGGGTGTGACCAGAAGGTCTGGCCGGCTCACTACACTCAAAGGAAAGACAAGATGGACATATAATCACACTGTGTCTGGTACCATCAGTACTGGAACTCTGCGCTGGCTGCTGAGGATGAGGATGGAGCACGCATGGGAATGCCCTGAGTGCTGTGATATCAATTTTTGACTCAACTCAGCTGAAGATGTCAGCATTTATCCTCTTTCTGATTGATGAATTTCTAAGAATCGTCATTGTCTTATATACACACACCGGCTGCAAAACTCCGGCAGAATGTTTTGGTTGTAGGTCTATTTCTAGACTGTGGTATTGTTTCAGAACTTGAGTTTCTGCAAGCATACCTGTTTGATAGATCTGACTGTTTTGTATTCAGACTGCTAGTTCTTCACCTCTTGAGCAGACACCCCTATTCAGTTGCCTCTTACCACATGCTTTGTGTGTGTGTGTGTGTGCACACGCACGCATGTGTGAGTGTGTGTGCATGTGTGAGTGTGCGCACGTGGGGAGGGGGGGGAGAGCAGTTTAATTAATGGGGCCCGGGACCCTGCACAGGTCCTTGGAGCATTAAAATGGCCAAAGTATTTCAGTTTCCTTGAAACAATACTGCCTGGGAGCTAGTCCTTCCCCATGTTCAGATCCTAAAGAATGTCAGCATTTTGGGAGTTTCAGCTTCATAGCAAACGGGTCACCCCATCTTTGATCGCTCCTGTGCCAACTAAAAACACACAGAATGTTTATCATAGTCCCTTGTGGAAAGATTGACAGACTGCTGTCTCAGCATATCTAGCATACACATGCATTAAAGCATACGGTGGCCATCCGAAGTGCAAACACAAACAGTCCGACATTAGAAATGCAATTTATCACTGATGGTAGCAGAAGTCACAAACAGATCAGCAGTTGCCCAGGCGATCAATTTTAATCACATTCGGGCACCACCAACACTGCGACGACAGGCATCGCGCTATTTTCTGAATCTACAATTCAAACTACCCCGTTGGTCACAGTCGAGAGAAAATTCCAAATGAAATCTGCAGCTCACAGTGTCACATCATGCATTCAACTCAGAAGCTGGGGGACAAAACTATATCCAGTCTTTAAATGGAGCTAAAATGCATCGGCCACCGTCCGGCAAAAGCAAAAAAATTGCCTTGGTTCTAAACAGTGCCCCTGCCCCCCGTCCATTTAGACCGGAAATCAGCATTTTGCCTCTCCTTGGTCCACGATACTCTAAGATTCTTCTTTGAACTTCAAAATTAGTTAAACATAAAACCGTAGATTGTTCTCATGACATCCTTGTAGTGATATGAAAATCTCACTGTGGGAGAGAACTCTGGTTCACAACCTAATATTCCTAGTCAGTAGAGGATACACTACAACCAACCTCCACTGTGGAGATGGCACAACTTTTATTTTTTTAAATTGTCACCACAACTCACCCGCACCTAGGACGTGACGCATGACTTCCGGGTAGAGTGGCAGCGGATGCGTGTCTGTCTGTCTCTAAAAGCTGAAACTGAGAAGGATTACTTCCCTGCAGAGGTGGATCTCCTGGCTCGCAGCAATGTGAATGAGATGCTGGTTTTATTGGCTTGGAGCTAGTAAGTGCTGGCATTTCATGCTGCTTCAAATCACTGTCTGAAACACACTAGTTGTAAAAACAGACACTAAATTGTTTCAAACTATCTCCTAGTAGTGTAATTCTAAACAATAAAATAATAATACAGCACAGAGACTAAAGTAAAGTAAAAAAAAAAAAAAAAAAAAGTAAGTAAACATCCCTTTTCACGCCTTGGGCGCATCGAGCATATAAGAAGAGCACCTCATATTTTTACAGACCAATCAGCACTAGATAAGTAATGTGGTCAACATTAGGGCAGCCATCTTTACTTCCCCAAGACATCCATCCTGGTACCCATTTTAGGCTGGGTCGATCTTTGATTCCCCATACCATGATAACAAATCCACGCAGGCAGAGACTAAAACTGCTGGATAAATGTACGAGTACAGGACTATTTTAATGCCCTTAGTGCACTGGGCATACTGTGCTAGACTGATACTGTTACAGATATCACACTGGTCACCTTTATTTCTAAGGACACTTCCTATTATCCATTTTTGGCTGTCAGTCTGGAAGCTTAAGTAATTTATTAGGATCTGTCCTGTGTGGATTCTAATTGAACACTTTTGGGCTAGGAGTCAAGTGCCCAGCCGATGGCAGTGTATTAAACTAATCTACATGCATTGTTTATGTGTTCTTGGGTAAATAGTCTGGTCTGGTAGTCTTAGTTTCAGCTTCATAGCAAACGGGTCACCCCATCTTTGCTCCGCTCCTGTGCCAATGAAAAACACACAGAATGTTTATCAGTCCCTTGTGGAAAGATTGACAGACTGCTGTCTCAGCATATCTAGCATACACATGCATTAAAGCATACGGTAGCCATCAAAAGTGCTAACACAAAATGTCTGACATTAGAAATGCAGTTCATTATTGATGGTAGCAGAAGTAACCAACAGATCTGTAGTTGCCAACACGATCAATTTTAATCACATACGGGCACCACCAACATGGAGCCATTTTCTGAATCTACAATTCACACCACCAAGTTGGTCACAGTCGAAAAAAAACATTCCAAATGAAATCTGCAGCTCACAGTGTCATGACATGCATTCAACTCAAAAGCTGGGCGACGAAACTATATCCAGTCTACAAATGGAGCAAAAATGCATCGGCCACCGTCCGGCAGAAGCACAAAAATTTGCCTCAGCTCCAAAACAGTGCCCCTGCCTAGCGCCCATTTTGACCGGAAGTTTCTTGGGTAAATACTCAGTTACAAATCCACATTGGAGACGACCAGTAATGCAAGTTTTCATTACATCTTGTTTTTCATAATTTGAAGCATACTGTCTGTTAAACATTTTGAGAGTCTCAAACACTTAGCCCCAGTGGCTCTGTCATAAGTGCAGTTTTATCATTCAGATATGCCAGGGTTCAAAGTCTGCTACAGTCCACCTGCAGTTTCTCTAGGCAAATTTTTTTGTTCAGTGGTTTGCCATTGCACTGAACACTCGGCTCTCATGTCAAAACCAATGCAAGATTGTTTGCTGCCAATTCAGCTGCAGCTCGGATCAAACCCAGCACCTCAGCATTACGAAGCACATTCTCAATGCCACAGACACCGAAAATGGCAAACTACTTACTGCAAAAAAACCATAAACAGCCAGTAAGTGCTGGGTTGGTTTGCATTTTCCTTTAAAGGGTATACAACAAACTTTTCAATATTCTGGTCTAACTACACCTGATGGAGGTAATATTTGCACTAGTTGTATGCAGTCAAACTATGGGGGTCACACTTTTAGAACTTTGTCAGATAATTTACCACCTTATTTCATTTCATACTCACCTCACGTCATGTCTTTTGAACCTTCTGGTGATGAGATCGGGTAAAAAAAAGAGTTTCAGCAACAATTTGTGTACATCAGTCCTATTAAGGATGAAATTTTTCGTTATTTGAAACCTTACTCTGGCTTTTGCCAGGGGCCGCAATATAGGCAGGTCATAAATATGGCCTAAAGGCTGAACGCGGTTTCTGGGACCTCTCCACAGTGATCCTCATCCACACGGTGGCACATTGAAGTCATCGGGTGTTTATGGCTTGTGGGGTAGAAAGTCAGTCAGTCAATCTGTGTACATAATCCATGCAGATTCAAAAGGACTTAGTTATAATCCATGCAGATTCAAAAGGACTTAGTTATAATCCATGCAGATTCAAAAGGACTTAGTTATAATCCATGCAGATTCAAAAGGACTTAGTTATAATCCATGCAGATTCAAAAGGACTTAGTTATAATCCATGCAGATTCAAAAGGACTTAGTTATAATCCATGCAGATTCAAAAGGACTTAGTTATAATCCATGCAGATTCAAAAGGACTTAGTTATAATCCATGCAGATTCAAAAGGACTTAGTTATAATCCATGCAGATTCAAAAGGACTTAGTTATAATCCATGCAGATTCAAAAGGACTTAGTTATAATCCATGCAGATTCAAAAGGACTTAGTTATAATCCATGCAGATTCAAAAGGACTTAGTTATAATCCATGCAGATTCAAAAGGACTTCAGTTACTTACTACGTCTATTATTTGTATTCTCATTCTTCTTCTTAGTGTTCACCGGCTCTGAACTCCTGCAGAATGGCTGTTCATCCACTTCTGAAATTTGGTCTTTTTCTAGAATGTAAGTTTTGCATTCATATCCTCTTTTATAGATATGGCTTATTTGTATGCAGACTGCTGGTTCTTGGCCTCTCAGTCAGATGCAGTCCATTTTTGAGATTCCCTAATTAGTTGCCTTGTACAACCTGCTTGTAGGGAGGCAGTGCAAACAATTCTCTTCTTCCAAGAGAATGGGGTCACCCAACCCGCAGGAAGAATTACAAAAATGAAACACAAAAGCAAACACCAAAGTTAACTGACTTTTCGATCTTTCTTAGAATTCCCGTTCATGTTTGAATGAATACTGACTGGCACCATTACATCTCTGAATGACTTGTGACTTGAAGCTTGACTCTTTGAAGAACTGTTATGAATAAAGCAAAATCAGATAACTTTGATGTGCAATGAGTTGTGGAAACTTTCAAGGATTAAATATGTTATTATACACCATATATAGCTCGCAGTTTACTCATCCATTTCATTTTATCCTGTGCAATTGATGACTTTATGACTTTTTTCATCAACATTCATATTAAAGTTTCTTTTTTTCGTCCTTCTTTCTCAGTTTTGGCGTTAGGGCTCCAAGGCCCCACTGGAGTGGGGAGGGAAATAGACCCATAGCCCCCAGTAGACATGTTGTAAAAGCCGATTAATTAAGGGTTTGCTTAAATCAGATGCGCTGGACCAAATTACAGATACTGTAGCCTAACTATAAACCACAAAATAATGTACCAACTAACTATTTGAGGGCGACTAGAATGAACTTCCCTCAATCCATTTCTTTCACATTTTAAGTGCCTGTTTGGTGATTTTGTTTGCTTCTCCTGTACTCTTTCAGGCTCAAAAATTTTGACAGATTCGGCTCACAATAGTTTCCCTTTACAAAAATGGCAGAGAGGGTGGTGTACACAAAAGGCAATCGAAAATGAATGTACAATTTAAATCTGATGACATGTGCATGTTTATAAGGAAAAAAGTTTAGGAGAAAATTCTTCACTTTTCATGCTTTTGCAACCACTAGAGCAGTGAATATCCAAATTCCCTATATATCCCATAAACCTGCTCCACTGGCCCCCGGTCCAAGAACTACCATACAGGATTAACTGGCCTAGCCTATCAGCACGATACATGATAACACTATCAGCACAGTACACGATTATACTATCAGCATGGTACATTATAATACTATCAGCATGGTACATGATAATACTATCAGCACCATAAATGAAAATACTGTCAGCACGGTACATGATAATACTTTCAGCACGGTACATGATAACACTTTCAGCACGGTACACGATAATACTTTCAGCACGGTACACGATAATACTTTCAGCATGGTACATGATAATACTTTCAGCATGGTACACGATAATACTTTTAGCACGGTACACGATAATACTATCAGCGCGGTACATTAATACTATCACCACGGTACATGATAATACTTTCATCCCGGTGCATGATAATACTTTCAGCACAGTACATGATAATACTATCAGCACGGTACATGATAATACTATCAGCACGGTAGATGATAATACTATAAGCGCGGTATATGATAATACTTTCAGCACAGTACATAATACTTTCAGCAAGATACATGATAATAATATCAGCACGGCACATGATAATACTATCAGCACGGTATATGATAATACTAACAGCACGGTACATGATAATACTATCAGCGCGGTACATGATAATACTATCAGCACGGTACATGATAATAATATCAGCACGGTACATGATAATTCTATCAGCACGGTATATGATAATACTAACAGCACGGTACGTTAATACTATCAGAACAGTACATGATAATACTATCAGCAAGGTACACGTTAATACTATCAGAACAGTACATGATAATGCTATCAGAACAGTATGTGATAATGCTATCAGAACAGTACATGATAATACTATGAGAACAGTACATGATAATACTATCAGAACAGTACATGATAATACTATCAGAACAGTACATGATAATGCTATCAGAACAGTACATGATAATACTATCAGAACAGAACATGATAATACTATTAGCATGGCAGCTGATAATCTTATCAGCACGGTACATGATAATACTATCAACATGGTACAATAATTTAAATTCCTTACATTTCACAATTACCACACTGTGGTAATGTAGGGTTTTCTTGATCCATCTCTTCGCAAGACATACTTGGTGAATCCGAGCTGTAGGTATCTCCAGTCCTCTCATTTCTGAAAGTCAATCATTTTCTAGAGTTATTATTCCTATCTTTGGTTTCCACAGAAAACAATAATCATCAACAACATAATGCTGTTGTGTTGTTAATGTCACACAGGGCTCACAGTTTATTCTTTCATTCTCTTCTATCGTGGACAATTGTTTCAGTGTAGAATCCAGTCCAGTACCTTTGGTTTCTCTCATCAGCGTTCATCACAGGGTTTTCTTTGGACACTGTTTGCTCAATCAATTTACTTCCTGTAAGTGCCTGTTTTGTGATTCTTTGTTCCCTTTCCCTTAGGGCATTTCTCTTATTTCTTCATATGCTTTAAACTGATTCCATTTAATTTTCATCTCTTTCTGAAGCTTTCTAGTCACATTTTTATATTATTTAGCACATTCACTCCGCAGAGTGTTCTAGTCACATTTTTATATTATTTAGCACATTCACTCCGCAGAATGTTCTAGTCACATTTTTATATTATTTAGCACATTCACTCCGCAGAGTGTTCTAGTCACATTTTTATTTTATTTACATTTCCGCAGAGTGTTCTAGTCACATTTTTATATTATTTAGCACATTCACTCCGCAGAGTGTTCTAGTCACATTTTTATATTATTTAGCACATTCACTCCGCAGAGTGTTCTAGTCACATTTTTATATTATTTAGCACATTCACTCCGCAGAATGTTCTAGTCACATTTTTATATTATTTAGCACATTCACTCCGCAGAGTGTTCTAGTCACATTTTATGTTTTTTTAGCACTTTCCCTCTGTTGAGCATTTTAGTCAAATTTTATATTTTGCACTTTTTGTTAAAGGGCAGTGATAAAGAATGCTTTAGTTGAAATGTTTGGTTGTATTTGTGCAGTCTTTTCCATTCCCTTTGTTGCGCTTTCCTAGTCATATTTTATGATATTTAGCACTTTTTGTTAAAGGACTGTGACAAAGAATACTTTGGTTGAAATGTTCGGTTGTATTTGTGCTGTCTTTTCCATTCCCTCTGTTGAGCTTTCCTAGTCACATTTAATGTTAGTTAGCACTTTTTGTTAAAGGGCTGTGGGTCTGCTGTTCCAGAGAGGTACAAACAGACAGGCAAACACAGACAAACATGTACAAACTGACAGACAAAAACACTGAAATGTGCATCATCATTCACTAAAGTGAACTTTCTGCCTTTTCCCTGAAAACAGCAGCTAGAACATTGTTGTGTAGTTTACAACCTACACCTTTCATCCCAACTCATTCGATTTCATCAACCTCTAATTAGTTACCTTTTTCAGCATGCTTGTCAGGAGGCAGTAAAACTCCTCTCCCCCCCAACAGGGCTGTCCGTGTGTAAATGGGACACATTGTACACAGAACAGTCCTGTTTTTTTAGGCGTGACATGGCCGTCCTGTTGGTACCCCGAAAAACAAAAATTTCCTTTTACAAAAATGTAAGAATTAGCTTGAGAACAGAACATTCACTAGAACATATACTTTTGATGCATGAGGTGCATTGATGGAAAGTTTCATCGTAGTATGTTTGTTTTTGTCAGTGCAGTTAGAGAGTATTATACCCTTTCGTTTATGTCCTCGCCACAACACTTAGAGATTTAATACCACTGTTGATCAATTAATTAACCCTTTCAGCCCAATGAGATTTTAAAAAATGAGTGTGGTTAAACTGACTGGCTTGGGATGTCTCATTCTGAGCTCAAAATGTCAGTGGGGTGTCCTGTATTATCATGGTCACCTACCAACTGGGCCATGAAACTCATGCAGGGAACTAATGTAAACCATAGAGTCAAAGTCCTACAACAAAAACCTACGCTTGATTGAAATCAAGTCTGTCTTGAGCCCAATTATATGCTTCATTTTTCACAGAACTCGATGATGAAGCTGAAGAAGATAGCTGATCTGCAAAATTGCATGACCTGTTCCACAAGTAAGGAGGTGTGTCAGTCCTATGAAACTTTGGCATCTGAAAAATATAAACAATAAAAACAATATCAAACAACTGGGTTCTGGTAGAGCTGATACATTTGTATACATTTCTGAGGATTGTTGCTGGAGCTATGGAGTCCACGTTTTGTGCAGTACTCTTGGCAGGTGACTAGCTGTTCTGTGGTGAGACTGAGCCACATGGGATCAAACCTGGTGCAATTAAGTCGATCCTCTCGACCTTAACCATTTCTTCTGATGTGTTTGTAAAAAGATAGTAATAAATCTTCCTTGCGCTTAAACACACAGGGTCAAGGGAATAAAAACAGGATTGTGCTGGGATGATTGTTGTTCAACAGCTTTTCAAATGGGACAGTGAGAACAATTTCTTTTGATTTTCACTGGCACGTGAAAGGAGCTAGTATGAGATGACCCGAGTGGAGTGAAGCTGAAACCTTGACTAAGACTTAAAAAACAGACACACACAAAAACACATGGATAAGGGTATCGAGATAGTGAAGTAACCAAAAAAAAATGGGGACATGTGATAGCCAAAGATGGGATGACCTGAGTTACAGAACACTGAATGGTTGCTGAGTTACAGAACACTGAATAGTTGAGTTACAGAACTGAGTTTACAGAACACCTAATGGTTGCTGAGTTACAGAAACACTGTTGCTGAGTTAAGAACACTGAATGTTGCTGAGTTGAACACCTGATGGTTGCTGAGTTACAGAACACCTAATGGTTGCTGAGTTACAGAACACCTAATGGTTTGCTGAGTTACAGAACACCTAATGGTTGCTGAGTTACAGAACACCTGAATGGTTGCTGAGTTACAGAACACCTAATGGTTGCTGAGTTACAGAACACCTAATGGTTGCTGAGTTACAGAACACCTAATGGTTGCTGAGTTACAGCTTGCTGAGTTACAGAACACTAATGGTTGCTGAGTTACAGAACACCTAATGGTTACAGTTACAGAACACCTGAATGGTTGCTGAGTTACAGAACACCTAATGGTTGCTGAGTTACAGAACACCTAATGGTTGCTGAGTTACAGAACACTAAATGGTTGCTGAGTTACAGAACACCTAATGGTTGCTGAGTTACAGAACACCTAATAGTTGCTGAGTTACAGAACACCTAATGGTTGCTGAGTTACAGAACACCTAATGGTTGCTGAGTTACAGAACACCTAATAGTTGCTGAGTTACAGAACACCTAATAGTTGCTAAGTTACAGAACACCTAATAGTTGCTGAGTTACAGAACACCTAATGGTTGCCGAGTTACAAAACACCTGATAGTTGCTGAGTTACAGAACACCTGATTGTTGCTGAGTTACAGAGCACCTAATAGTTGCTGAGTTACAGAACACCTAATGGTTGCTGAGTTACAGAACACCTAATAGTTGCCGAGTTACAGAACACCTAATAGTTGCTAAGTTGAAGAACACCTAATAGTTGCCCAGTTACAGAACACCTAATGCTGAGTTGAACACCTGAGTTACTGAGTTACAGAACACCTAATAGTTGCTGAGTTACAGAACACTAATGTTGCTGAAGTTACAGAACACCTAATAGTTGCTGAGTTACAGAACACTAATAGTTGCTGAGTTACAGAACACCTAATGGTTGCTGAGTTACAGAACACCTAATGGTTGCTGAGTTACAGAACACCTAATAGTTGCTGAGTTACAGAACACCTAATGGTTGCTGAGTTACAGAACACCTAATGGTTGCTGAGTTACAGAACACCTAATGGTTGCTGAGTTACAGAACACCTAATAGTTGCTGAGTTACAGAACACCTAATGGTTGCTGAGTTACAGAACACTAATGGTTGCTGAGTTACAGAACACCTAATGGTTGCTGAGTTACAGAACACCTAATGGTTGCTGAGTTACAGAACACCTAATGGTTGCTGAGTTACAGAACACCTAATAGTTGCTGAGTTACAGAACACCTAATAGTTGCTGAGTTACAGAACACCTAATGGTTGCTGAGTTACAGAACACTGAGTTACAGAACACCTAATAGTGAACACTGAGTTACCTAATGGTTGCTGAGTTACAGAACACCTAATGGTTGCTGAGTTACAGAACACCTAATGAGTTACAGCTGAGTTACAGTTACAGAACACCTAATGGTTGCTGAGTTACAGAACACCTAATAGTTGCTGAGTTACAGAACACCTAATGGTTGCTGAGTTACAGAACACCTAATAGTTGCTGAGTTACAGAACACTGAATGGTTGCTGAGTTACAGAACACCTAATAGTTGCTGAGTTACAGAACACCTAATAGTTGCTAAGTTGCTGAGTTACAGAACACCTAATGGTTGCTGAGTTACAGAACACTGAATGGTTGCTGAGTTACAGAACACTGAATGGTTGCTGAGTTACAGAACACCTAATAGTTGCTGAGTTACAGAACACCTAATGGTTGCTGAGTTACAGAACACCTAATGGTTGCTGAGTTACAGAACACCTAATGGTTGCTGAGTTACAGAACACTGAATGGTTGCTGAGTTACAGAACACCTGATAGTTGCTGAGTTACAGAACACCTAATAGTTGCTGAGTTACAGAACACCTAATAGTTGCTGAGTTACAGAACACCTAATAGTTGCTGAGTTACAGAACACCTAATAGTTGCTGAGTTACAGAACACCTAATGGTTGCTGAGTTACAGAACACCTAATAGTTGCTGAGTTACAGAACACCTAACACCTAATAGTTGCTGAGTTACAGAACACCTAATAGTTGCTGAGTTACAGAACACCTAATAGTTGCTGAGTTACAGAACACCTAATGGTTGCTGAGTTACAGAACACTGAACCTGAGTTACAGAACACCTAATGGTTGCTGAGTTACAGAACACCTAATGGTTGCTGAGTTACAGAACACCTAATGGTTGCTGAGTTACAGAACACCTAATGGTTGCTGAGTTACAGAACACCTAATAGTTGCTGAGTTACAGAACACTGAATGGTTGCTGAGTTACAGAACACTGAATGGTTGCTGAGTTACAGAACACCTAATGGTTGCTGAGTTACAGAACACTGAATGGTTGCTGAGTTACAGAACACCTAATGGTTGCTGAGTTACAGAACACTAATAGTTGCTGAGTTACAGAACACCTAATAGTTGCTGAGTTACAGAACACCTAATAGTTGCTGAGTTACAGAACACCTAATGGTTGCTGAGTTACAGAACACCTAATGGTTGCTGAGTTACAGAACACCTAATAGTTGCTGAGTTACAGAACACCTAATAGTTGCTGAGTTACAGAACTGTTGCTGAGTTACAGAACACCTAATGGTTGCTGAGTTACAGAACACCTAATGGTTGCTGAGTTACAGAACACCTAATGGTTGCTGAGTTACAGAACACCTAATAGTTGCTGAGTTACAGAACACCTAATGGTTGCTGAGTTACAGAACACCTAATGGTTGCTGAGTTACAGAACACCTAATAGTTGCTGAGTTACAGAACACCTAATGGTTGCTGAGTTACAGAACACTGAGTTACAGAACACATAATGGTTGCTGAGTTACAGAACACCTAATGGTTGCTGAGTTACAGAACACCTAATGGTTGCTGAGTTACAGAACACCTAATGGTTGCTGAGTTACAGAACACACTAATAGTTGCTGAGTTACAGAACACCTAATAGTTGCTGAGTTACAGAACACCTAATGGTTGCTGAGTTACAGAACACCTAATGGTTGCTGAGTTACAGAACACCTAATGGTTGCTGAGTTACAGAACACCTAATGGTTGCTGAGTTACAGAACACCTAATGGTTGCTGAGTTACAGAACACCTAATAGTTGCTGAGTTACAGAACAGTGGTTACTGAGTTACAGAACACCTAATGGTTGCTGAGTTACAGAACACCTAATGGTTGTTGTTACAGAACACCTGAGTTGCTGAGTTAAGAACACCTAATAGTTGCTGAGTTACAGAACACCTAATGGTTGCTGAGTTACAGAACACTAATGGTTGCTGAGTTACAGAACACTAATGGTTGCTGAGTTACAGAACACCTGTTGCTGAGTTACAGAACACCTAATGGTTGCTGAGTTACAGAACACCTAATAGTTGCTGAGTTACAGAACACCTAATAGTTGCTGAGTTACAGAACACCTAATGGTTGCTGAGTTACAGAACACCTAATGGTTGCTGAGTTACAGAACACCTAATAGTTGCTGAGTTACAGAACACCTGAGTTACAGAACACCTAATAGTTGCTGAGTTACACCTAATGGTTGCTGAGTTACAGAACACCTAATAGTTACTGAGTTTACAGAACACCTAATAGTTGCTAAGTTGAAGAACACCTAATAGTTGCCGAGTTACAGAACACCTAATGGTTGCTGAGTTACATAATATCTAGTGGTTGCTGAGTTACAGAACACATAATGGTTGCTGAGTTACAGAACACCTAATGGTTGCTGAGTTACATAACATCTAGTGGTTGCTGAGTTACAGAACACATAATGGTTGCTGAGTTACAGAACACCTAATGGTTGCTGAGTTACAGAACACCTAATAGTTGCTGAGTTACAGAACACCTAATAGTTGCTGAGTTACAGAACACCTAATAGTTGCTGAGTTACAGAACACCTAATGGTTGCTGAGTTACAGAACACCTAATGGTTGCTGAGTTACAGAACACCTAATGGTTGCTGAGTTACAGAGAGTTACAGAACACTAATGGTTGCTGAGTTACAGAACACCTAATAGTTGAGTTACAGAACACCTGAGTTACTGAGTTACAGAACACCTAATGGTTGCTGAGTTACCTAAGAGTTACACCTAATGGTTGCTGAGTTACAGAACACTAATGGTTGCTGAGTTACAGAACACCTAATGGTTGCTGAGTTACAGAACACCTAATGGTTGCTGAGTTACAGAACACTAATGGTTGCTGAGTTACAGAACACCTAATGGTTGCTGAGTTACAGAAACCTAATGTTGCTGAGTTACAGAACACCTAATGGTTGCTGAGTTACAGAACACCTAATAGTTGCTGAGTTACTGAGTTACAGAAACAGTTGCCTAATGGTTGCTGAGTTACAGAACACCTAATAGTTGCTGAGTTTACAGAGTTACAGAACACCTAATAGTTGCTGAGTTACAGAACACCTAATAGTTGCTGAGTTACAGAACACCTAATAGTTGCTGAGAGTAATACAGAACACCTAATGGTTGCTGAGTTACAGAACACTAATAGTTGCTGATAATAGTTGCTGAGTTACAGAACACCTAATGTTTGCTGAGTTACAGAGCTACACCTAATGGTTGCTGAGTTACAGAACTGGTCAGCATCATGCCAGCCGACTTTGCTTCCCAGGACTGCACCTGGTACCCGTTCAAGGCTGGGTTAACCAGGGAGTCAAGGTCATTTTTGAAAAAAATTCCAGCTCCGCCAGGACACGAACCCATGACCTTCCGATCCACAGGCGGGCGTCTTGCCGCCAACATTACGGCGACTCCCACTTCATAATAAGGAATATTTAAAATTTGCTATAAGGAATAACATCTCAGAACTGCAGACAGTTTGGTCTAAAAATGAATTACTGTCTTAGATTATTATGTAGTACATTAAAAACTGGTGTAACAAGGAATAAGTGTCTCAGACTAAAGTGTACAGAAAACACGATGTATCAATGAATAACCGTCTCAGACTTGAAAAGTATAACATGGAATAACTATCTCAGACTAGAACAGTATAACATGGAATAACTATCTCAGACTAGAACAGTATAACACGGAATAACTATCTCAGACTAGAACAGTTTAAATAGAAAAATCGTCTCAGACTTGAAAAGCATAACATGGAATAACTGTCTCAGACTAGAACAGTATAAAATAGAAAAACCGTCTCAAACTTGAAAAGCATAATATGGAATAATTGTCTCAGAATAAAACAGTATAACATAGAAAAACTGTCTCAGACTAGAACAGTATAACATGGAATAACTGTCTCAGACTAGAACAGTATAAAATAGAAAAACCGTCTCAGACTTAAAAAACATAACATGGAATAATTGTCTCAGAATAGAACAGTTTAACATTGAAAAACTGTCTCAGACTAGAATAGTATAACATGGAATAACTGTCTCAGACTAGAACAGTATAAAATAGAAAAAACCGTCTCAGACTTGAAAAGCATAACATGGAATAATGATCTCAGAATAAAACAGTATAACATGGAATAACAGTCTCAGATTAGAACAGTATAAAATAGAAAAACGGCCTCAGACTAAAACAGTATAACATGGAATAACAGTCTCAGACAAGAACAGTATAACATGGAATACCTGTCTCAGACTAGAACAGTAAAACATGGAATAACTGTTTCAGACTTGAAGAAAAGTAAAACATGGAATAACTGTTCCAGAATAAGTAATAAATCCACTGATGCTTTTGACCAAACTACAAACATTTAAAAGACAAACAAGAATTTCATTTGTATCACTTACTTGATCAGATTTCATCCAGTCAATGATATAAGAAAACTTGTTCAACCTGAGCTCTTCTTTCAGCTCCAAGCCATAGCCAATAATGGCCCTAATCTTTGCGGGTATTTGTGGAGTATTTGTGTTTATTCCTATTTTCCCCTCAACAATCTTTTTTTTTATACTTCCTGGTGGCAAATTTTTCCAGGGGACTTCACCTAATTCAATTATATATAAGTAATCAACGGTCACAGACACAAAAGACATTTCTGTATAAATTGAATTATATGCATTTTTGGTGAGTTCACCCATTTCGACCCACAAGTACTAAAACATGGGTCATAAATCAGTGGGAATTCTCGAAAAAAATCCTTTAAAAAGAAAAAGAGAACAAAAACTACTTTACTCAGATTTTATTAATACATTTTTTAGTGTATTTATTTCAAAAAATGTATTTCCCAAAAAAATACAGATGTATATAAATATATAAATGGAACACACAACAGAAGGATTTACAGGAAGTAATCAATAAAATGTATTCTATTTACTGCCTCACTCAGTACGTGTTTATTGACTACTGCCTTTAAATCAGCATCATTCTATAATAAAGAATTCTTTATGCACTCTTTCTTTGTATATTGAGACGAGAAAGAGAATTCTTAAAAGCTATATATACACTTTTTTGACATATGGAAGTGAATCATGGACAGTTGGTAAATTAGTGAAAACTTTTTGGGAAGCTGCAGAGATGTGGTTTTATAAACGAATGATGAGAATATCATGGACAGGTAAAAAAAAAAGTTATGAAGACGTCTTGAAAGAAACTGACTCATAAAGAGAACTGATTGTCCACATCAGAAAGAGAGACAATCTACATTCTTTGGTCATGTGATGAGAAGGAGAAAACTGAAGTAAATCATGACTAGGAAAGTTTGAGGGAAGGTAAGGCAGAAGGAGACAGAGACAAAGATGCTGGACAGTTTGACATCATGGCATAGAGGATCATCTGTGTCAGAATTGATTGAAGTACAAGAGACAGAAGGTTGTGGATAGGCATGACTACCAACACCACATGTCATGGACTTTAAGAAGAAGCCTTCAAATCTGTTTTTTTATATACTCCTTTAATTTAAAAAAAGGGGAATGACTTTGTGTTACTTTTTCATAGCCTCTTGTCAAAATAACACAAAATCATTCCTTCTTTTTTTTAAATTAAGGAAAGTAAAGGAACCTGGGTACCAATCAAGAGAGTCATGCCATCTCATTCGCACGCGAGATTTTATGCTGGCTACCATTTATGTCATGCCAGTTCCCATGGGCTATCCTATTTTGTAAGGCCCTTATGGCGTGGCTTGCTTCACCGTGTGTACACACCGTATCAAAAAACAGCTTCGGCAGGTTTGTTTTCGCAACTATCTTCTGTGAATGGCAGATTATCATAGAATGGGGAATTTGATAGGCACTTTATGTTAACAGGACTCTATAGCCAGGTTTGAGGCAAGAATGCATAGAAAAGGTGCTCATTCTGCACATACATTTTCATTGTACACAGTATCTTGTTAAAGAACTATCAGAAATATTCCTTCTTAATGAGAGCTGCTGTTTCGTAGTGGCTAGATGTGATGGACCAAAGATCTTGGGTTCAAATCCAAACAAGGGCAGATTTTAATAGTTAATCTAGGGCCTGCAGATCAAAACAGTCTAAAATGTGTACCAGGAAATTTCCCAGGAGGTTAAGGCAAACAATAACAAAATTATACATCTCTTAGCTTTGTTCCATAATAGTACAGTAAAATCTCGTTAAAAGGAATTCAAAAAGACCAAATATTGAAGAATAAGTGTTTAAAAAATATTGCTAACTGGAGGCTGATAGATGTATTATGAACAAAACATCCCGGCTGGGACCAAAACTGTGTTCATATTAACCAAGTTTTTACCCGAAGTGAGACTGATGTGTTACCAAGGTTTTACTGTAGTATAATAAACCTCTTGCGTGTGTGTTCTGGGGCACCATTTTGAGAGAAAAAGAATAGATCCTCCTAACAAGCAAGGGTTTGTTGAAACTGGATGTTTATGACCTAAAGGTGCAGATACTGCAGCCAAGTTGCAAACCACAACACAACAAGCCAATGTTCTTCTGCATTGATGCCAAGATTAATTGCGCTGTGCCCGGTTTAGCCTTCCACGAGCCTTCATTCTTACGAAGGCACAGGAAAACAGAAGAAATATTTACAAATTCTGCAGACTGTAAGACAGTTACGTACGAGTGAAAAGCTCCCATACAATACAACAGAAGCTGTACACATCCGAGCTATAGTGAGGAGCCAGACACTCCATTAATTCTGGGGACATCCAGTTGTAGAGAAATTCACCATGGCTCATTATTGAGACAGAGCTGGGCTTGCCTAAGTTTGTCTTGATGCTGTGGAAAAAAAAAAAAACTATGCACTTTTATATCTCTAGTTCTTGAGGAAAAATATATTTAAATTGGCAGCTGGAGGCGAGGGTCTGTGGCTGGGCGTGTTCGTATTAAACCTGGCATCAATACGGGGAGCCAAAGATTTCCAGGCTGACAAGGAGGGACTATGAAGCTGCTATGGTGTATTAGCCAGATGCTCGCCTGTGGATCCCAAGGTTGTGGGTTCAGGTCTTGATGGAGCTGGGCTTTAAAAAATGACCCAGCCTTAAATGGGTACCAGGTAAAGTCCTGGGAAGTAAAGCACTGGTCTATAAAATATATGTTTAGCCCTACATGCCAAATATGCCAGAAGGCGTGGAAAAGGGTCCTTTATTTTAATAGAGGTAGTCCTCCGTGTGGGTCCCAGGGCCCTATTATAGGGAAAACAAGAACAGACCCATTGCCTACCCAAAAGCATGTCGTAAGAGTCTACTAATTGGGAGCTTCCTTCAAAGTCAGAGTGCATCTGCCTGAGAGGCAAGGAACCAGGTCTGCACAAAAATGAGTCAGATCTGTCAAACGGATGCACATGCAACACTTAGGTTCTGGAACAGGACTGCAGTCCAGAAGTGGACGAACAACCAGAACTTTCCACTAAAGTTTACAGCTGGTGAATGCGAACAAGAAGAAGAATATAGGTAGTACTTTGGTAAAGACACTGATGAATAAGTGTGGGTATGTTCTTTACAACAGTAAAACTTTGATTAACCGTCATCATATAGACCAGGGCTGTAATGGATAGTAAAAGTCCCTTTATCATGACTTTAGGGGTAAAGGGCATATAGGGCTAGACATATATTTTTAAAGACCAATCAGCACAAGACGGGTGATGTGGTCAGCTTAGCGCCGGCCGCCTTTACTTCCTGGGACTGCACCTGGTACCCACTCAAAGTTGGGTTGACCTGGGAGTCAAGGTCATTTTTTTTTAAATGTCCGGCTCCGCCAGAGAGCGAACCCACGACCTTCCAATCCCACGCGAGCGTCTAGCAGCTATGCCGCAGCGACTTCCGCTGTGATGGATAACAGAGATAAATTAATACACATGTAGAGTTATGAAACTTTACTGCAAGCTTGGGACAACAATGAAATAAAATCCTGTAAAAAGGTGAATAATACATACATACTGTATTTAATTTTATAAAATTATCAATATAAACTTCAATACAAAAGTAGTAATGTAGTCACTCCCAGCTTTATATACATTTTGTGAACACCACCCCCTCTGTCATTTTTGTAAAATGAAATTAATGTGGGCCAAGTCTGTCAAAATTTATGGGTCTATTATGAAAACTTACTGGACACCCTCTACATAAAATGTAGCAGCCAACAGCTTTGCAGTGAGTTTGTTACCTTTCAACCATGAACTCAAAATTGCCAACTTTTGCAGTTTGTGCAGATACCAGATACACAGCCATGGAAGACAAGCCACAGTGAATGAGGTGCTGGCAGTGAATAAAGTCCATAGCCGCACAGATCTGCTGCATGATGGTTAGACATTCATGGTACAACAGAGGATTGCTCTGAAAATAAACATACAGCTTATCTGTAGAATACCTATGCCATCAAAAAGTCTAAAGGAAAATTCATGTGTAAATTCATTTAATTAATCATATTTTATCTTGATTTGCTGGGGTGGTGTAGCGCTAGACACCTGCCTGTGAAATGGAGAGTTGTGAGTTTGCTGCTGGCCTTTTTTTCACCTTCTTCGACTTTGACCAAAAGGGAGGCCTTGCTGAACTTTGCCTTCAGCAGCTCTGGCCATCTGAAGCCACTGAGAGTCTCCTTGTTGTTATTAAGAAGAATATTCCTTGTCCCGTCGGAGTACAAACTCACAGATGTGACTCTGGTTTATTTTGGCCCACAATGAGAGTCCTTGATTTCAGTTGCTCGGAAAAGCCTTGGGAAAACTGGAACAGATCCCTAAAGAACTTTTCTTGAGCCCTCTTGGTCCTTCTTCTGTTCCAACAGAAACATGTGGTGCAACAGAGGGTTCTGTATCTGCTCTTGTCAGACCTTGTGCAGTCCTCTAGTTCTCTACCTGAAGTGGCTCTGAAATGTTTGCGTAGTGCATTTTTTATCTATCAGTATCTCTCTGCCTCCTGCTTTTCTCATGATGGATGTCCAGCTTCGTCTCTCTACTGTCCCGAACTTGTGGGCACAGTGAGAGTAAATTAAGTCATCAAACAGTGTTAGTTTGTCATCTAGTGATTATTTCTCAAATTCATCACCTATAACCTCACACAAGGTACCTTCCAGTTTGCACCATGAAAACCTGTTACTTGCGGGTGGGAATCTGATCTTCATTCTCACACCATGAGAAAGATGCTGTGATTGTCATCTTGGATTTCTCGGGATAAAAGTGGGGTAAACTCTGCCTGCCGTTTCCTGGCAATATTACCAGACAAAGCGGCCCAGTTCAGGGACCGGCGGGGTAGAAAACATTGTTATCATCAACGGGTCCTTTACCCCTTCCCCTCCCCTTTTTTTGGTGGATACTGGTGACATATTCTTAGTTTCAACTCTGCATCATTCAGATTTTGTCTGATTCAATCTGAATCATAATGGCAAAGAAGTTGAAGGTTTACCCTTCAAATCCATTCTGTTGTACTCCAGCCTCAGTACATATATGTGTGTGGCATCTGTGGCTTAGGCGTTGCAATCAAGATTTTTAATGCTGGGATGCCGGGTGTGATCCCAGCTGCAGATGATTTGTTTTGCGTTGGTTTCGACAGTGGTACCGAGAGCTGACAGTTCAGCAGGAATGGCAAAATAATTAAATTTAAAATTTGCCTAGAAAACCACAGCAGCCAAAAAAAAATCCTGGAGTTGATTTTGCAATGTCCTGAAAAGGATATGCAACTAACTTTATATATATATAATTAAGTCTATGTTCAGTAATTTGCCACTAAGTAAACAGCATTAAAAGTCTGTCTATGATTAAGCACCAGCAAGGAAATCAAAGTAACAATTCTGAGAGCAAGCATCTTCCCTGTAGCAACATACGTTTGTGAGTCATAGAATATCTTGCAGTCCTTAAGGAATAAAACAGGGGCTTCTGAGCTGAAATGCTACAGAAAGAACTGTTACTGGTACCATCGGAATTTTAACTCTTCGCTTGGTGCTGAAAATGGGGACGGAGCACTTATGGGAGTGTCCCGAGTGCTGTGATGTCGATTCTTAATTCAACATTCAATGCTACAGAAAGATTCTTAGAATACCATGGACAAAGAAAAATAATACCTTCCTAAAGATTTGAACATCGACTGACTGACTGACTTTCTACCCCACAAGGACATCACACAAGCGATAAACACCCGATGACACCAAGTGCCTCCATGTGGATGAGGATCGCCGTGGAGAGCTACCAGAAACTGTGTTCAGACAATTGGAAATATTTATGGCCTGCCTATATTGCGGCCCCTGGCAAAAGCCAGGGTGGGGCTTCAAATAACAAAAAATTTTGTCCTAAACAGGACGTAAGAATATTGATAATTTGAACATCAAAGAAGATTGACAAATAAACAGCATCTTGTCTCAGAAGCAGAAATATTTTGGCAACATCAAGCGCCATGACGGATAGGGAAAAAATAACAGGAGAAGGCATGGAACCAGGAAGGAGGAGCAGGGGCCAACAAACATTAAGATAGGCACATGACATAAGTGACTTCTTGGGTATAAAGTGCGTGAGGCAGGAGAGCTGAGAGGCCAAGTTTTTTTCAGGCAGACCGTGACGAGAGCGATATTCTTTAAAGGACCTGCTCCATGATGATGATGAGTTTGCCACTGCTTTTGACCTGTCTGCAACTCAAACTATTGTAAAAATCTGGTGTTAAATCACCTGCAACTGAAATCAAACTGGGTATTTTGGAATTATGAAGCTCGTTTGCAGTGTCTAAATCACAGATGCCACTACACACATGTACACAAAAAACATACATGCACACAGATAGATATATACATACACACACATACTTACACATGCATATAAAAATTCTACCCTATACCAACGTAGAGGAATGGTTTAAAATAACGCTAAAATATATTTTAAATAATGTGGTCACAAACAATACATTGCACGATTTATTGTGTGACATTTTTCCCTGTATCTTGTCAGGTGCATTACTACAAAGTTAAATCAACATATAACAGATTGCGCACTGTATTGTTTGTGTTGAATTTACAACGGGAAAACAAAGTTTTGAACTAAAATGTATGCTGAAATCATGCAATGACATGCAGAAATACATGTATAAATCTTACACCAAACTCAAGCCAAGTGAAAAGATACCAGAAGTGTAACTGATGTGTGCAATGAATGAATGAACACAGAACTGGTGAACTGACTAGCATGCTAGCATGCCATTTCCAGGGTCACAGGTTTAAGTTCACATAAATGAAAATGTGTAACCTGAGCTCCTCGATTGACAAAACTTAATATTCTTTGAAGTAAAGGCCGCTAATATCTCCAGAACATAAAAGATACCTTAAGCAGTAAAGTTCATGAGGCGGGAGAGCTGGCGAGGGACTTTCTTTCAGGTGGGCTGTTAGTCTTAATCTAGATTTCAACATCACTACAATCGGGTTTCCCCGTATGGTGGGCTGTTGTGGGAGCAACAATTTGTAAGGGACCTTTCACATGAAAAGTCACTAATGGGAGAATTATAATGTACCACGATCAAGCCTGGAGCTGCTGTACTGTGGTGGCTAGTTGTCTGATGAAGATGATGATAATTATGACACTGACGATGACCGACTAAAAATAATCAAGGTTAAAAAATTCCTATGCAATTGATTTATGTAACATTTATAGATGACATAAAATGTAAATAAATATGTATATACCGTTTGATGCAGGAAATGGTGAAGTGTAACATTCTCTATAAACTCAAAGACTAACACGATTCTGTCAAGGTAGGTTGACTGGCAGATACCCATAAGCAACAGTATGTTGGGATGACGCAGTTTTCTGGAAGAGAAAACATAACAAAGGCATAACATATTCAAGGTAACTGACAGCAGAATACCCTGCGCTAATACAGAAGTTTATCTAATACAGGTGTTTTTGTTTGTCAGATTCGGGTTGTTATTGCCTCATACACTGAAGGATATGAGATCATTGCCAGTCTCCATCTTTTGGGTTTTTTTTTTGTGTGCAGCTGCTTTAAAGATCTCTATGGGCTGGTCCTACAGCTGCAGAGTTGTGTGCTTCATGTGATACTCTTGGCAGGTGAATATCCACTCCGTAAAAAAAAAATGGCTGAGCCATATGCGAAAAAACCATGGCAACAAATTTGATCAAATCGTTATTAAACATCCTTTGAATTTATGAATTTCTGCTTCCTGAATAAGAGCTGTTTTGGTAACTAAAAGTTTGGCCACACTCTATCAATCTTTGAAACTTAAAACCCAAACAAAAATGTCTCAAAGACATCCATTTTAGTTTCGATCTCCATTTCTGGCAAGCTTTCCTATCAACTGTTATTTTGTATATGTCCCTCTATGTCTGCCTCTAATGCTCTAAAGAAGTTATAACTGCAGTAGGCAAAATGACATTTCCACGTACATACACACGAGCTTCGTAATGCCGGAGTGCTGGGTTCGATCCCAGCTGCTGACAGTTTCTCATGTGTTAGTTTTGACAGTGGTAAGAAGAGCTGACCGTTCAGAAGCACTGGCATACTCAACATAGCAGCAAGCGAAGCGTTCCAATTCTGATGGTACTAGTAATCGTCTGATTGTATATCGGTCTCATCCTTCCCCTGAGTGTTGAGCCTCGGCCAGATATCCTCGTAACTCTTCGCAGCGCCATTCTCCTTAGACCGTAATGATCTATTTGCACTCCCGCACTGTTTACTCGTTCCCAAAGGGCCCTCACAATATCCCACTTGTCATATATGCAGAGCCAGGCAGTCTATCTGCCTGCTCGTTTCCCAACACACCGACATGACACAGAGAAAATATCCAAAGGATGCTAACTACCCAGGACCTCTGAATTGATGCTTGCCACTCTGCATGAAGCATGCCTGTTTTCACCTTTCTCAACATGCTATGTGAGTCAGTACAATCACAGCATGTGTGTACAGCTGATTCTCAAGCCAGCGGAAGGCAGCAGAGACTGCCTCCACCTCCATTCTCAAACTAGACATTGTGATATCACATGCAAGGCTTTGCTGCAATTGGCAAAGTCCATTCGCCTTTGCTACCCCAAGAACTTTGTCTGCCCCTCAACTCAGAGCCCTCTGTATAGATAATATTTGCGCAGTTATGATGCCTGGCTGGCCTTATAAGAACCAACCAGGCTAACAACCAAACAAAACATAGGTCTCAAAATTCTTCTGTAAACCTACATCTCTGAATCATCAAGAAATTGTTTGGCTTGTTTATTTATTGTCCAGGATTCAGAGCATACTTTTTTGCTGAGAGAGCAGTTTGCCAGTCTTTCCACAAGGGACTGTGATAAACATTCTGTGTGTTTTTCGTTGGCACAGGAGCGGAGCAAGGATGGGGTGACCCGTTTGCTATGAAGCTGAAATTAAAATTACCAGATTACCAGAATTACCAGATTTTACTTTTTTGTTTTATAAGAGTTTTAACCAGGTGATTTGAACTGTCACAATCCAACAACAATAACACCCAACAACTGTTTTTCCCCATGGACTGCTCCCTGAAGATTTAACCACCCCTACAATTTCAAGATCTGCATCCCAGATGGCAAACCCACAAACCCCTGACACTTCTAAGACATTTCTTAATAGGGCACCCATAACGGTTACATCAAGTCCTACACTTGTGTACCCTGCTGCTCCATACATGTGAGGATAGTATCTAACAACCAACTATACCTCAAGTATTTTGCACGTAATAAGAATATCAATGCTGATGGCAAACAAACAAGGAAAATCTCTGATACCCTGTTCAACCTCTGAGAAAATTATAATTAGACACATGTAATAATCAGGGAGCCGCTGTAGTCTTGCAGCTAGACGCTCAGCTGTGGATCGGAAGGTTGTGGGTTCGGTTCCTGACGAGGGCCTGACTTTTTTTTTTCCTTCAAAAATGACTTTGGCTCAGGTCCACTCAGCCTTGAGTGGGTACCAGGTACAGTCCTGGGAAGTAAAGGTGGCCGGTTTGATGCTGACCACTTCACCCACCAAGCGGCGTTTGGTCTATAAAATACAGGTCTAGCCCTACATGCCCAATACGCCTTAAAGGCGTGGAAAAGGTTTTTTTTTTTTACACATAACAATCACAACTAGGGTTACCTAAGTGTAGCTTGCAGCTTTGAGGATTGTATCCAATAAGGAACCTTACCCCAGATACTCTGCATCAGTTATAAGAAGATCAATGCTATCCTCAAATCCCACATCTGGCTTTAACTGCTTCACACTGACAGCTTCATTTAACCACTGCATCCTGTAAGATTCAAATACACAAGCATACATACATTTCACATCCTCCAGTTACCTCATCAAAGTATTGTTAGAGATGTAAGGATTTTCTGTGCACTCTTCATTAATGTGTTGTATAAGTTGATCTTCTTTTATTTAAGGCTATTCTTGATGCCATCGTTCTATTTTCACAAGGTCTTCCTCTTGATATGTTTATTATATTTCTTCAGCATGGCTCTCTGTGGCAGGTGATAAGGACATTATCAGATCACCAAGACATCTCACCTATTGCTTGTTAATGAACTGTACATACGTTTTAAGAAAGGAAAATATAGTACCACAGTAGATAATGAACTGTATAAGACTACCAGACCAGACCATACATGTATTCAGATAGAAAAATATAGCACCACAGTAGATAATCATAATGCAGCAAAGATTTGAAGTGTTCAGTGCTCAAATGTTGTGACCCATGGCATTATGGGATGTCTCTTGCCAGCTTTCCTTTCCAGATAATGCACACAGTATTATCAGATATGAATTCTGTTTTACTTTGGTCAACCCCACAACACTAACAGTCAGAATGAAGAATCCTGCCATTGTTGGGAACTGAATCTTGAACACTGCCTTGGTAAGCTGCAGATATTCTCCAGTTTTTACTGGCATGCGTAAAAACTGAAATGACAGAATTAAAAATATCACATTTAGTTATAAAACTATATAATTTAGAGTTCCATACTTTATTCAGACTTGTAAAGATGCTGTTGCCTTGCCTATGTGTAATATAATTCACCTTTCAATGCAGGAATCTAATCCAGTTTCATATTTCTTCCCATCAGTGGCCTTCAAGGCAGTCTCGCTAATTAAAGGCACTGCTGAAATAATTCCACCATTGAAGTTATTACCTAGGTAAACCTGTCGGAAGATACACAAAATACTGCAGCTGGGTCAATGACATTCACTGTCTGAATTAAAATGCGTGCACACATGCTCGCACGCACGCACACACACACAAAACAAACATGCAGAAACTTCCAGCTTGTGAGAAAAAAAATTTATAATTTTGCTAATAAAAACAAGGTAAATAAGGGAACCAGTGGTGCGTTGAGCATATGATGGTCAACTTTTTTTATAGACAAATCAGAACTCGACAGATGATATGATCAACACAGCCAGCCGGCTTTACTTCCCATGATTTTACCTACATCCCTTCTAAGCTGAAACAACATAGGAACCAACCTCATAGTTTTTAAAAACTCGGACTCAATGAAGATTCAAACCCAGGACTTTTGGGCCGGTAGGTAACAGTCTAGCCTGTTGCTGCAGCGGTTCTCAATTTTGCAAACGTCAAATTTTAAAATGTATATATTGTTACAAATATCTGAAACTATTTAAACATGTTTTATGTTACAAATACCTGAAATGGTCTAAGCATGTTTGCTAATGTGGCATAGATTTGAAACTATCAAACCATGACAACATACTGTACCGCAGTGGGTACCTAATCTTAAAGTCCATGCCGTGTGGCACTGGTAGTCATGTCTATTCACAACTGACACAGATGATCTTCCATGCCATAATGTCAGACTGTCCAGCATCTGTTGCCTCAATTTCCCTCTGCCTCTCCTCCCCTCCAACTTTCCTACTGTCACAATGTACTCCAGTTTTCTCCTTTTCATCACATGACCAAAGAATGTAGATTGTCTCTTTTTGATGAGAGGGATCAGTTCTCTTTGTCAGTTAGTTTTTTTCAAAACAACCTCATTACTCTTTTTATCTGTCAATGAGAACACTGCACAGCGGGTACATGTCCAGGGATTTCTCTGGCTTGAGAAATATAAGCCATATGTTGGAATTATCCATTTTTTACAACAACAAACAGGTGTCGGTTTTCTTTGTTTGAATAATGCTGCTGTGGAGGGGTGCTGGACTCACATAAAATGGTGCAGCAGGACCAGGGTTCCTACTAGTCCAGGCCTGTCTGCACCTCTCCTTGGTCATCCTAGAAACAGTTCCCATCCAGGGCTTGGCCAATGTAGATATGATTGACATTCCCTTCAAAGTGGGAGTGAATCTGCTTGAAAGGTGAAGAACCAACAGTCTGTGCACAAATAAGCCAGATCTGTAAAACTGATGTGCCTGCACAACTGATGTTCTGGAACAAGACCAAAATCCAGAAGTGGACAAACAACCAGCACTTTCTACAGAGGTCATTTACAGCCAGTGATACGAAGAAGAAGAATGAAAAGATCACAGTGGACAGATTAAAAAACATTTTTAAAGTAGACTGAAAATCTCTCTCACGCACACACTTACCACAAATCAAGCATATTGTGTGAAACAAAAAGGCACAGAAATAACCCAAGTAACTATATTAAACCACCTGACTCTTCCAATCCAGAAAAAAATTAGTTGATATGTAAGATTTGTACAAGCAGTCAGAGGACTAAACAAATATCAACTTACACTTCTTTTTCTTCGCGTTCACCAACTGTAAACTCAGGCAAAAAGTTCGTCCACTTCTGGACTACTGTCCTGTTCCAGAACCTGAGTGTTGCGTGTGCATCCGTTTGACAGATCTGACTCATTTGTATGCAGACTGCTGGTTTCTTGCCTCTCAGACAGATGCACTCGGACTTTGAAGGAAGCTCCCAATAAGTTGACTCTTACCACATGCTTTTGGGTAGGCAGTGGGTCTATTCTTGTTTTCCCTTCAATAGGACCCCGGAACCTACATGGATAATTTACTTTTCTAAAAACAATCAGGTTACTGTGGATAGCAAAACATGTACAAAAAGGCAGAAAAGTAACCCACCACTAAATTAAACCAACTTACTTTTCCAACACAAAAAACAAACTGACACATGCAGAAAACAAAATAAAATGCAGAAATAGTCAGAGAAACCAGTCAACAAAATCAAACCATCTTACTCTTCCAAAACCTGTGCTTTGAACTCGCTTAAGACTCTCAAAGCTATGGTCACTGCCAGTTGTTTTCCTCATGATATGCATCACTGAAGTCTGAGAGTGACGCCTGATCATGAAATTTTGTAAATAACTGAATAATATTTTCTTTTACATTAAAAATAACACTTGTATATCTTTTGGTATCTTTCATTTTTCTGCGAATGTTCTCATGAATCTCCTCAAGTCAAGAACACCTATAGTCATGAACAAAAAGCCCATAACACCTGAACAAATTTTAACTCAATCCACAAACAATGCTTTGGTGTCAGGTTTTCACCTCACTGAAGCACTCTGAAGGTCTTGCCATCATTTCATGAATTCGTCATTCGGGTAACGTGTGCCGTTTTTACAGACATTCCTGGGGATCATTGTTTGAGCTATGGAGTTTGTGTTTTATGCAGTGCCCTTGGCCGTTCTGCAAACACATGTTTCTTGGGTGACTTTTTGCTACAGTTAGTACCAGGACATTCTTGTCAGATAGCCAAACCATCTCATCTGTTCAAAAAAACTATGAATGTGTTTTAACTTCTAAAACATTTCCAGGTGTCTATGCCTAGGCTGTGTGGATTGGCTGGCCAAGGTCAGTATTTTAATTCTCTTCTGATAGAAATTCAAACTTATGATCACTGAGTGTGCTATCATATCTGTAGTATTCCTGCACAATTTAACCCTCACAACCTGAGAAGCACAAAATTCAGTGCTTCGTGTTTGTGCTTTAGCCCCGTAAATGTCCTTTCCCTGCTTTCCCCCTGAGACTTGTTTACGAGTAGCCCCGCTAACAGCATTACTTATGTTTTCTCCTAGGCAACTTGTTATAACTACTGGTAGCAAGTATTGCTTCTGAAAACATCATTTAAATAGGGTTTCCTTGTGGAAAATGACTTCATTTACCAAAATTCTGACAGCAGGATTTCCTGTTTCGATTCATAAATGGAATTTTTATGATTTTTTGTGGGGGGGGGGGGGGGGGGCATCCTGTGCAAAATATTTCTTTTTGTAATGGAATATTCTGGGGAGGGGCCGAAATTACAAAATTATGGGTCTTTGAATTTGTTATTTTTAGGTCGTCAGGGCAAAAGGGTAAAACAGCTAGGGCTAGATAATGTCCTTACCCACATAGGCCCACAGGTCACACCTAGCTATGGGCATTCTAACTTAACTTCTTTGAAGGCTGAACAGGATATCTGGAATCTGCCCTGCTAGTCTGCCATCCGGACTAAGATTTTCTTCCTCAGTGGGGTCAACCTTCAGGTAACAGCCTGGAGTGAACGAACTGACTGAACCAGATGATGACAGCAAACATACCTGAATGCTGGTTCCATTGTATCTGCCATATCGACTGCTTCTCCGCTGCAGACCATAGCACGCATTTGAGTTTTATCAATAAACTCCAGCATTTTGGTTCTCTTTCGCACATCCGGATTTTTAAGAGCCCAGTCTCTCATGCTATTTCCATTGTTGTCATGAAGGCGCAAGTCACCTCCTGCCTCAATCAGTTTCCCCAGCAAGCAGATATTGCCAGTATAAGCAGCTGCATGACACGGAGTCATGCCACTGAAGCTTTTCCTATTTAAAAAATTCAAACAATCATGAAAATAATTTGGCTCGCCAAAAGTCAAGGAAAAGGAATGAAGAGATGTTGGAAAGTCAAAAGGAATGAATCTGTTTACTGTATTTTCCCGAATAACAAGACCTCTTCTTCTTTTCTCTACTCCTGAAATGCCTTGCGGTATCAGTGCGGGAAGATATCTCTGAACCGGCCCTTCAGTTCGCTTCGTAAAAAATACTTGTCAGAGTCCCTGATATTTCTGCGGTTAATCTTCTGCGTGGTTGACCTGTGGCTCTGCTACCGCTATATCTGTATAACATTGCTCTCTGTGGTGCCCTGTCTGGTTCCAATGTTGTTACATGGATAGATTAATTGAATTTTGAAGTAATGAATGCATAAATAAATATTGACATTAATGCCTTAAATAACTGATAATATGAATGAAGATTTCTATACAGGAAAAAACATAATTTAGCCTCCTACAAATAAGTCCTGTAACGACCGTGAGTGTAGGGAAAAAGTTTACTGAAAGATGTGAACACAGAAATCCATTAGCAGGCAGGAAAATAAAGGTGTTAATTCTTAACTATAAACTACATGGAAAGCCAAGCAGATCAGATAGATACATGGTTGGCGAAGGTTGGGTTAGGGGGAGAAAAGTGGTTCTCATGGGTTAGTGTAACAACAAATTGACAGAATGTTTATAATGATCAGCACACCTTGTTGTCGGCGTCTGTGGCTTAGGCGTTGCGAATGCACTTTGTAATGCCGGGGTGGGGGGTTCGATCCCACCTGCGGACGATCTGTTTTGCGTTGGTTTTGACTAGGGCTGTACCAAATAGTGATTTTTACTATTCGGCCGAATACGAATAGCTGGACCAACTATTCGGCCAAATACGAATACAAATAGTGAATCATCATCATCCAGTGCTTTGCCGACAGGCATGGGCGATTATGCCTCTTTACAATCTGCGATATCCTGCAGAATGTATTAGTTTGTGTGCTGATGCACCTCCACAACAAGACTGTCAAAAATCTTCTTTCGTTGTCTTCCTCTATCCCTTCTTTCACAGATCTTTCCAGTGGTCACCACATGTTCCATTTTTCCTCATCTTTTAACATGGCCAAAAAATGATGACTGTCTCCTTCTGATGTCTGTGAGTAGTTGTCTTTGAGCTCCGGCCTCTATCAAAACCTCTTGGCTGCTTTTTTTTTGTTTTTTGGCTGTCCAGGGTATTTTAAGCATTGTTCTGTGAAACCACATCTCTGGGGCCTCAAGAAATTGTTTGGCCTGCCTACTGATTATCCAGGACTTACAGCCAAATGTTAAAACTGGATGTATGTAGCAAGCAAGAATTCTTTTTCTTACCTTCAATGACAAAGATATATTGCATAAGATGTTTTTCATTTTTTAAAATGCAGTTTTTGCCTGTCCTATTCTGTTTCTCGTTTCAGTAATGCATCTTCCATCTGATGTAATCCATGTGCCCAGATACTTAAATTTTTGTATTTGTCCAAAATAAAACCATTGACTTTTATTACACATTTCGGAATAATTATTTTCTTTGATACCACCATTACTTCTGTCTTTCCATTATTCAAACTGAGGCCCATTCTTCCACTTTCGTATAAAATAGATCTAAAAAGAAAACATCCATAATGTCAAATGTACGCTGACATTTTACTTCACAAAATGTAGTACAGAATAGTAAACATTTAAAAACATTTCATGTTTTGCATCCTTAAGTCAGTCAGTCTGTGGTAACTAATACATAGGAGTGAAAGTATTCTTTTATAACAAGTAACTAAACTTATAAATTGTCACTGACAGCTTAGTTAATCCACGAAAGCGGCATTAGCTTTCCATGTTGTCAGCATTAAGGCAGCTTCTTGTCTCACCAAAGGTATTTCCAGCTGTACTAAACAGACGCTCACTTGGTACGCTCGTAGGTGGTGCACAAAGATAACGCTTGACAGTATGAACCAAGGTGGGAAATCTTCATATGTTTATTTTCTACCAGTCCAGAAATGGGTGTAATGTAACCACTATTCGTATTCGACCTGACCGCAACTATTCGGCCGAATACCGAATAGTTATTAGGTCCACTATTCGGCCCCGAAGCGAATATTCGGTACAGCCCTAATTTTGACAGTGGTACCGAGAGCTGACTGTTCAGAAGCAATGGCAAACTAGTGAACATAAACTTTGCTTAGAAAAATCACAACAGCCGAAACATGCTGGGGTTGGTTCTGCAACGTCCTGTAAACAATACACAACTAACTTTAACACATTGTGAAAACCACAGTATTGTTGGGAATGATCCTTTGACTGGGTATAAACTTACCAGACTAAGAGATGACCATTCAGGAAAGTTGTCATAGGTGAGGGTGCAAGTGAATTCACTTTAGAAGGTTTTATTTAATTCTGGAATCTACAGACAAGAGTCGAAGAGGTCAGGCAGGGTAGCTGAGTGAAGAAGCAGGGAGCAGAGGCTCCTGCAGGGGGCTCTCTGGGAAGCAGATAAACGCTGGAGGAGCCCACAGCCTGTTGTGTTTGGTGTGAGTGGTTAGAGCATAGAGAAGGCAGTTGAGGCAGACAGGCCCAGTATGTTACAGGCGGATTGAGACAGAAGGTTTCCGAGGCCGTCCTGGGAGTGTGAAATGGCAGACCGAGAGAGGTTGACTGAATTAGAGTTGGGAAATAGCTGAGGAGACTGGCCTGACAGAAAAATGGCAGTTTGGAATACTGTCTGATTGCAGATTGAATCAAGAGATGGAAATGAGTCTGTGGGGAACTGGCCTTATATTTGATGATCATATGGTGCCTTATCGTGTACCAAATCAAATATGGAAGTTAAGTGAGGACTTACCATATCTTGGTTACATCAGACTTAGCTGAAGTCTGGCGAGACTCAAACAGAGAGATCATGGAAATTATAGCTTTTTTTTAATGAATAATATTATTCCATAATGCATTTATGAAATACTTCTGGATATGCATCATTGTTGAGATATATGAACATCAGTTATGGGTTGCTGACTGAATTACAACAGACAGTGGAGTTCATACTAGAGACAACATTGCAGATATAGATAATCTATTTCAAGCGAACAAAAGAAGAAGATGAAGAAGAAGATATATGATAACAAAGTATTATATTGTGTGCAGAAGAAATTGTGTCATCGATTACATCAGTTGTGGATAGAAGTCCTGTATATTTGAGGTAGGGAAACAGGCACACTTTGTGAGATAATCATCTATCAACCAGAAATCTATTCCCAGACACTGTCATCTGACAAGCCCTAAGGCATCGTTTGGAGCAAATATTAAAATAAGACCCAGTCTTACTTTTAAGGAAATATGGCGGTATGTATTAGCACTCATTTCCATGTACAGATATCATCATCAGGTGATGCTAATTAACATATGCAGCCATTATTTTGTTTTCTTTTATCAAACACAACCAGAATCATGGATCAGGTCTGTGATATTTTATAGCTATGTAGCCAAGCAACCCAAGTATTTTATTTCTATGACTTCTTGTTTCATCAAATTAGCCATCTGTTACCAAGTCTGTGAGTTTACCCCTTCCCATAACATTACACATATCGGTAAATATATTTTTAAAAAAAATTTTTTTTTTGCAAACTTTAAATTAAAACAGTCTTTTATAACTTGTGGTTACCTTCAAAGACAAATGACAATTTCTTATCTTTTCTGCCTTGTTTTTTTTTTTTTAAATTCATCATACCTGAGGGAATATCTCGGTGTTAAGTCGTGCCAAGGCTCACGTTGAGTCATTGTATCCTTTATCATCACATGCAGCTCACTGCATGCTTTGTCCTTCCCAGCCATTTCCCGTCAGTCTCAAATGTTCTGCTCCATGTATTTTTTTGTTGGTTTTGCCTTTATTTCTTTTACAATGTTCCAGTGCAAGGACATTCTAGTTATATTGATATTTTTTACTGGGTGTTTTATCCAAATATTAGCAGTGGCTAATGTGCTTCAGTGTGTCTTCTCCTTCTTCCTTGCCTTCACCAGCTGTAAGTTCCAGCAGTTGTTCCAACTTGTGCATGGTCTCCCCCTTGTTCTGTGTTCACTGTATTTTTTTAGTGTGGCTCTGGGGCAGCTTGTACTAGTGCACTCTCCACAGATGACCAAAACATCTCATCTGTTGCTATTTAATGAACTGTATGACTGGTTGGTTTGTCCTAGTCATCATCTAGCAGGTGAAATTAAACAATATAAGTATTATCTAAAGGGCTTTAATGTATAACATAACTTACTCATTTGGGTTTGCTCCCCACTGCAGCAGTAACACAGCCGTAGATTCATTGTCCCTGGCACATGCACAGAACAGCGGTGTTTGCCCCATGTTGTTGGGGTAATCTACACAGATGGCTGCATGTAATTGAAAAAAAAAATTTATTTATATGTGTGTGTGTGTGTGCGTGCGTACGTGTTTTTTTTTTTTAAATATATAAATATGAAATTTTATTTATGTGCATGTACATGAAAGAAGCATACCCGTATTTACTGTAATGAAGAAGGGAAGAAGGAAAGGTAGCAGAAACTCTGGGAAGCAAAGGTAGTTGGCACTAAGTTGAACACATCAACCATTCAGTGCCTGCTTATTTATAACAACTGTGGGTCTGGCACCATATACCCACTGTGCCATGGGCATGAAAAGGATCCTTTAGGTTTAAAGAATTATATATTCAGAGGAATGCACCTCCAAGAACACAGGATCATTCCGTATTACAAATGCAGAAGTTGCAGTGTGAACCTGAAGAAAAAAAAATTGGGGGGATGGGGGAATTCAAATTCAGCAACCTTTTAGCAGTCATCTTAACTCTGTGAGTCCCAAGGAACATATCATGTGCTAATCGGTTACTACCCAGACGGCCAGGCGGCACATGACGCGTTCAGGTTTTTAATTTACAACTGTCCAGTATAAAAACGCAGACCGGCAGTTCTGAATGGTATTTTCTGTTTGATTTCTCATGTGACTATTAG